TTTTTAACCACCTTCCCACCCTGCACCTTGTAACTATACATTTTGCTTCGAAGTCCAACAAAATGTGTCATAATTTTACCGTTATTTTCATCTTTCATTAGACCCGGCACCTTTTTGTTCTTACGCAGTATTTTATATATGTTATTTTCAGGATAATCCGAAGTATCAAATTTACTGGAATCAGCTTTAATGATCTCCTCATATGCATCCTCACATTGCAATTCGTAGATAAAACTGTCTGTGTCCATGTACATGAGCTTACACCTTTCTGCACCCATTTTTGGTAGCATATAGGTGTAATGAAAATCGTACATGACTAGTTTCGATAGGTCTAGAATTGCCTGCCCTACATACAGAGGTTTGTTAAACGTTATTTCAGCCTTGTTCAATTCGATAACCACCAGATTTTCCTCTAAAATTGTGCGACTGTGGAACCGAAAACTCGAAATCAAGTTTGCTGCCCCATAGCGACCACCCCAAGATTTAACGATTTTACATACGCGGTGCTTACGTATATTTTCCATGGTCTTACCGAATACTGCATTATTCATTAATTTAAAAAGATTTTTTTCGAAATCATTCCGGGCTGCAGCTCTACATCGAGTATTCAACTCGATGTAGGGTTTCAGCCAGGCTGCTTGTTTAAATTGTAAAATTTTATGGATTTTCGTTAACTTTAACCCATTAGCTAGCATTTGTTTTAAATTTTTATAGTGAACCGTGTACTCTTTTTTATCCGTAAGTGTTGCCATTAATTTCGGCAATTTTACCCCGCCGTCGCTGGGTGGTACGCTACGTTCTGCCGCAAACGGAAAATCTTTGTGTTTATCGTGCAGTTCTTGTGGGTACGATAGATCGACTTGTAGCACGTACCCTACGTCAGAGTCGTCGGGTATTGACATCACATCAAACGATGTTACATCATCTACCCATTTGAACCCTCCGTAGGGTAAGGGTTGCTGCATAGCATTCCCATATGAGCTATTCACATCCAGGTACATAAGGTACTTGGACGGCTTTTCAGGATCATATTCGGGCATATATTTATTGTTGGCCTCCGAAAATCGGTTGCTACACACCGAAATTCCACCTCTTATAGCATTTTCGTAAAACATCACCATATCTAGATCCTTTAGTAGTTCTAACTTACACCCAGTGTATTTGAGCATACAGTCCCACGTATATCCGGGCATTGTATAGTACCACGCAGGATCCAGACCATAGGTGGAGAAACATTTTTTACGCAATTGCTCAAAAACGTCGGCAAGAAGCAGAATATCTGTTTTTAAATATATATCAGAATACTCTCCTAATGTTTTAATGTTAAACTGTTGCCAAACAGATTGCGCATGAGCATACTTCTCGTCACTTACACTTTCATCGTTTAATTTATTGTAAAATTTTTCAATTGGGGGCAAAGTCGTTTCATTTAATTTTTTCAACGAATCAATGTAATCGTAACAGAAAACTCCTTTCTGTGTTAATAATTTGAATTTATCTTCATCTAAATTTTGAAATTCCCTTTGTAAAATTTTCTTTTCTGATACTGCTAAAATTGAAGCTAATTCATCAAGAGACGCCCCCATAAATCGAAAAGAGTCTATAAACCGCAATTTAATGTTATTTTCATCTGAGTGCAGCGTAAAGGAGATGTATTTATCTTTGTTGATGGGAAGTAGACTTGAGCGACCTTTTTTACATAAATTCGAAATCATAAAGTGACTATCGTACCCACTTAAATTATGGAATATAACCGGCACAACAAACAATTTTCTAAAGTTCAGATTGCATGCTTGGTGTGCGTAACCTCTGAACTCTCCATTGAAATGGTTGTGATCTCTAACGATTATGTCTTTTTTTGTTTTTGAAAATCTCTTACCGCAAATATGACATGATGTTGCCTTACATGTGTCTAATTTTTCAATCATAGGTACGCTTGTTTTTATTTTTGAGTTTACAAATTGCGCAACACCAGCCATACGATTTGCAAACCAATCCATACAATCTGCACCTCGAAAGCTCTCGAAATAAGAAAGGCTATCATCATAGCTGCATTTTACATAGAAACCAGCACTATACGGAACGTGTTTTTGATATTTTATGGTTTTAGTTAAATTTACGACGCTACTTTCTTTATGATTTTCTAATTGACATTCAAAATCTGCATAAACAACAAAAGGAGTATTTTGTTGGTATGTAAAGTTTTTAAATTCAACGCAGCTCTCTTTAGGAAGGTTAATTTTATATTTATTAAATTTAGAACACAGTTTTTCATGTTCAACTAATTTATTTTGCTGATGGAAATAGTTCAGACATCTATCGCATATAAATTTTTTCTCACGATGTTTATTTAACTGGCTACTAATAAGACGCGAAAGATTTTTAATCCAACAATAGTGATATTTAATTTCATCGATTGAATCATTATCTTCATTTGCTGGCGCTGGTGGAGGAGCATCATAATCATTTAAACGCGGATAATATTTATTTTGAGCTAAAAGTAAATTAACATGCGTATCCCGTTTATTTTCCGTTAATCTTGCTGGTACTACTATGTAAAATGATTTTTTTTCTGTTTCGATCAATTCTAAAGCGTAAACATTGACTGAAATGTTATTCATCTTTTCAAATTTTGAAATTTTTGTTAGCAGCATAGGACTATCTAAATTTTCTGTTTGTAAAACGTCAGTAAAGTGTGGATATGAGGAGGTTAGTTCTGCATGTCTTTTATTGCTAGGAGTCCGAAGAGCGCTTACAATGGCCCAGTAAAAGCAATTTTGATCTATATTTTTAATGTTTATACAAGCATTTTTCCTTATAATCGGTTCTGGTAGTCTAATATAAGATGAACCGTTTCCCAATTGATATTTACTGATATTAACAACTAAGGAAATAATTTTATTTAACGCAAATCCCGAATCTTTTTCAGCAAATTCCGATAATTCGTTTAAAAGTTTATCTTTAACATATATCTTAAACCACTCGTCTATTTGAGTTGATGTATCAATAATATGATTTTTAGTATTAATATATTTAATTCCCAAAATTTCATTATCCCCCGATTTCCTAATAAACTCCCCGCAAAATGTTGTATTTACTTTGAGCGCACAATGGGTGTTCAAAATATTCCTAATTTTCCTTTTAAAAACAACTACACAATCTGCTAAAAATTGATTCAAGTCCTTATGACGCAAATTAGCTATGGAACCGGTTTTTATTCTACTTTGAAAGCTCGATTCTACATTTTCCCATCTAACCCTCTGACCCAATGTTAAGTGAAGTCCTGCCCCAATATGTCTAGTTAAAATCAACTTTCTAAAATGTTTAAAATGCCCCAAATTTGTTTCTACTTTTCTACAGGTCCCTACAGATAATTTATTTTGCCTTCTACTACGAATTACCCGTTTACATAATCTAATTTGTTTTTCTATTCGTTTCAGCCACACTTCCGCGTCTCTGATTGTAAAATTATCAAATAAAATTTTCCGTAGACTAACAATTGATAGTAGAACACCGTCTGTTTGTTTGATGATCTTTTTAACCTTATTTGAAGACATTTGAAAAGACGACATTTTTTTTTTCAAGCAAACACATTACTCAAAAATATATAAAAATGCTCACCCTGTCCTCCTCCTGTTCTCTGCTTTGTTAATTTTCCACTATTTTGAATGATGCTAGCGGTCGGCTTTTCCCTACGTCCACTTCCCCTTGGAAGATGATCGAGTATTTTCCGTGAAAAAGTTCGTCGATGACCGGCTGGTACGTTTCCGTCACCCGCTGTGGTAGAAATAGCACTTCCGGTCCTAAATCTAGTAGCACGGCTTCCCCAAATTTCGACTTGACCACTTTAGCTGCTTGGATTGCAAATGGTGTCCCAACTGGTAGGTCCTTTAATTTTCTGATAGGTTTGCGGTCTACAATCGAAGACGCAGCATTAATTTTTGATAAATCCATCTATAAAAAAAATTGAGTCGACTAACTATTTTGAAGCATAACACGAAAAAAAAAAACAGTTGCACTTAGAGACATAAAAAAGAAAAATATTAAATAAAATAGCACTTACTTTTTTTAAAATTTTCGCTCTCTCGTCTCTCTCGAAGCACTAATTGTACTGCGGTCGTTGTTGCAGCTTGCAGCGTTGTGCGTTAAGTGTGAAACAATGATGACTATTGCATGCGCTCGCTCAATATAAGTACGTAGTAGAGATGACACACGCGTGCATGAGATAATTGTATCGTAAATATGCATATTATATGCATCATATTCTCAGTACCATTTTTATCGAGAAAACTGCATGCGCTCGCTCAATATAAGTACGTAGTTGAGATGACACACGCGTACATGAGATAATTGTATCGTAAATATGCATATTATATTCATCATATTCTCAGTACCATTTTTATCGAGAAAACAACATTCATTGCGGTTGCAGTATTTTTTATATAATTTCTTAGTAATACATGAATGTATCGTTTGTCCGGCGGAAATTCCAATTACAAGTTGCACATGAGAGTAGAATTTTAGAAATATAGAAATTCGTGTATGATTATTGTATATTTGCTGCCTAATTTTTTTTCAGTCAAGATTTTGATTGGGGGGGTAAACGAATTTATATTTGCTATCTGAGATTTTTGACATCATTCTCTATCAAGATGTTGATGTGGGTAGACGTATTATTTTTTATTTCAACTTTCACATACGTGCTTTGCAACGATTTCTCCGAAAAAGACGCTATAGTATACCTAACTCAATATGAACATATCATCTATAATACAACAGATCTCTCTACTTTGCTAACTAACTTGCAAGAAAAGTATAATTTACCAGTGGAATTTATGAATCGTCCGCGTTGTCAATACAGTGATGCTGAATTTAGAGCAAGTTTTCCATTTCGGAAACATGACCTGAAATGGTATTTCCCTCGAAACACACCTGCGGCCCAAAAAGATGCAGAAATGGCTTTTCAGATGTGGCAAAATGTTTCAAACTTAACATTTACAATGGTTACCAATCCCACTCTATATCCTCCTGATATTACTATAACCATGGTTAGCAAGACTCATTATTTTAGCGCAAACTGTATGGGTAATGATGAATGTCCATTGACATTAGATGATGCTGGCGGCGTTTTAGGACATGCATACTTTCCTGACTCTAGCGGCACCTGTAGAGAAATCCATTTAGATATAAATGAACGCTGGTATTTTGGAAATAATCCTAATATACCCAAAAATCAAACTAGTTTTCTTATGGTGTTGGTTCATGAAATTGGACATGCCCTCGGCATAGCACATAGTGCTTCTCCGAATGCTATTATGTTTGCCTTCTATCAGCATGAGATTCGTGGTCTAGATGTTGATGATATAAATGCAGTACAATATCTATATGGAAGAAAAAACAAATATGATTCAATCCCAAAGTCTACCACCGCATCAGCAATACCAAAAACAACAACAACTATAAGATCTACAACTCGTAAGCAGCCGATCCTCAAAAATTTGTGTGATATTATTCCAGATTTTATGTTTTTAGCCATTGCTCCAGAGTTTTCAAATTACCGATTATATATTGCACATGATATGTTTATATGGAAACTAGACTTAAACGAAATGATTATCCCATCTCAGCCTGAACTTCTTGTCGATTATGTTCCTACAGAATTACGTCAATACACTTTACAACATATTTTCCAATCAACAAACGGTGACTTGATTACCATTGTGTCTCCAAACAACTATTTCTCAGCATCATTCCCTACCATTAAATTTCTTGATAATTTTTCAATTGATATACCCGATAGGGCTCGAATCAATGCTATTTTTCAATCAAACGCAGGACGGTCCTATACCTTTTATAATAATATGTCATATATAGAATTTTCTAACGATTTTACTGATGTGTTGAACAGAGGACGGATAAGAGACATATTTCCTGAATTACCTGAAGATATTTCTCTCGCATTTCGATGGATTGATGGCCATATTTACTTTTTCCGTCACGCAACTTACTATAAATTTAATGAATTTACAAGAAAAGTTGTTGCGACCGGACCATTTCATTGGACTCTATTTGGAGTACCATGCCCCAGCGAGGATTTGTTACATCAACTAACAACTCTGTTATCTAAACTTGTATCTGTATATCATTAAAAAATACATTTTTCAGAAAGCTATGTTTATTTCGTATTCAGCCTGTTGTCAAACAAAAAAAAAACAGTCGGTTCCTTCGACTCCCCACCCCCCCACCATCATTCTACTACATAAAGTTTCATTTTGAACGGTATCATCCTGTATAATAATAACAGTACATCGTATACAGGTTATGAGACATTCTGACCGACCGACCGACCGACCGACCAGAGGAGCCCACCACGCTATTTAGGTCACGCCTTGCTATATACGATTTAACGATATACCGTCGGTCCATCGATCCGCTATTTTTCGATGCACCCCTGTATACACGTTCTGAATGCCCCCCGTAATCCACGCCAACACCAGACAGGTGCGACATCGGCGCCATCTATGCGCGAGATGCCCAACCCATCAATGGCAGCTGTCCAATGACACATAGATTCCGTTTGGTTTGTACAGCGCCAAACAAATCGGCGCCATCTATGCGCGAGATGCCCAACCCATCAATGACAGGTGTCCAATGACGTATAACAGATGACGTTTTAACGCCATCTATGCGTGAGATGCCCAATGACGCATGACAGGTGTCCAATGACACACAGATTCCGTTTGGTTTGACAGCGCCATCTAGCGGCGGAATCCCCAACTCATGAATACAGATTCCGTCCAACAACCTGTCAATGGCGCGCGACGCCAGCGCCTCTGGTGGCGGATTTTGGAAGTTTTGAGACCGAATCCCCATAAGACATCTACTTACCCTCAAATGTCATATATAACAACCCATAAATAGATTATCCCAAAATGCATTTGTTTATGAGTAATATTCCGTCCATACGTGTATGGGCCACCCTATATATTTCTTCGAAAAAGGAGTGGATTACGTGACTTACTTATTCGACAAGGTCATGCAGTCATCAGTAATGCAGCCATATTTAGTAAATGCTACCTGCTGACTAGTCTAAGACACTTTGAAACATAATTGTGTCTTTAGTTTGCGTGCTAACTTTATAAGCAGTTCAGCGCACTTCAGTATGGAACATTTTGATTTATAAACTTTAAGGTTCATCTGTGACCATGTAAAAATTTCAGTTGTAAATATATACAGGGTGTCCAAAAAGTACCACGACAAACTTAAGGAGAAGGTAGACTTTGGACTGACCTCCGAAATAACAAAAACTTAAATATATAAAAGTGCTACCGTTTTTGAGATATTGAATTTTTTCTTAAATTTTAAAAAAACAACCTTTTCATCTGTGGTCTTTAGCTGCATGTACAAATAAGGATATACTTTGTTCATTTCCTCTATAAAATACGTCTAGATAGTTGCTTCATCATATACAAATGCAATGTAGTTAAAAGATACTAAGTAACCATGATAAAAAATAATTCTTTTGTTTTGTTACTGACTCGAGTCCGAATTTCAGTAAGTTTCATAAAATCATATCAGGAGCAGGTAATAATAATGTAGCTTCGTACTATTTAGCATGTCACTGATCGGTAACCAGTGCAACTTGAATTTAAATCCAATAATTACATTGTACCTGTAGTATATGTGAGTCACTTACAAACGCAGATATCACTTTTTTCTATTCCAAATAGTACGTGTGGTGCCTTTCGGAAATCTGTATTCAATGAGCAATCTTTTTATTCAATATAATGCAATTATAGCCCAGTACATTTTTGTTTCACCGCAGATGGCCAAAGTTGAGGAAAAAATATCAGAAGGTTATAAATCCCAAAGTAGTCCTTATTTGATCATGATTACATTTGTATATGATCAAACAACTATCTAGAAGTATTTTATAGAAAAAATGAATAAAGTATAACCTTATTTGTACATGCAGCTAAAGACCACATATGAGAAGGTCCGTTTTTTCAAAATTTAAGAAAACATTCAACATCTCAAAAACGATGACACTTTTATATAGGTAAGTTTTTGTTATTTCGGAGGTCAGTCCAAAGCCTCCCTTCTCCTTAAGTTTGTCGTGGTACTTACTGAGTGTGTGCAGAAATTTTGAAAAAAATTGTTTTCTTCGTAACAGAAGGTGATAGATACATTTTTAAAAAAATAAGTATAATAACATATGTTTTTCGAATATCGTAGCGAATCTGTTCAGTTACTCACATAATACGAAATGTTTGAACTTGCTTAGAAAAAAAATGTAACCCTTCGTTTTTCGCATAAAAAAAACAATTATCTTTCTGAATGGTTCATGATTGACGTCGGCTAGGTAAATTCGTGTATTTTACTATAAAATTACCTTAGAATGAACTTGTAGTGATGCCCGGAAGACACTTGTTTTGGAATAAGCAATTAGACATTCTCAAAGACTACTTTAATAAGCGACTCCACTTTTGTTGTGGCTATTTAGAAGTATGAAGCCTACGGATTTGAAGAATTTCAAGTAGCTGCGTGAAATTATCGTCGCATTAGCAACAAGTACCAAAACCTACATTTCTAATCAGAGATATTATGTACATGTTGTCTCATTCTGTAGGTCCCATAAATACCTAAAAACTTTATTTGAAGAGTTATTTTGTTCCTGCCAACACTTTCAACTGAATTCCAAAATACGGGTTTTCTCATTATTTGTTGTCGAATAAAAAGTTTTCCCACAAAAATTGGTGAACTCATTTTATGCGTCCATGTCTTAAATAACCCGTTGAACAACTTGCATCAATAAAACCAGACTTTACAATTATTCGCCTATGTGCTTACATTTCATCATTTGTCACCAGTAGGAATATAATCGCTATTTGCTAATTACTTTGAAACTCCGAAGCTGCTGCTCCAATCGTAAACGGGTATACTGACGAACAGCGAAAGAGTTAATACCATTCTCAAACCACCAAAAAAGTCCAATCTCACCAAATTGCCATCTTTCATACTTGCACCGTTGCACTGTGTATTACCCAGAAACACAGAGTTAGAGGAACATTTATCCAAAACATGGGAGACTTTTTCATAAATTATGGCAGGCTCGATTCCCGATGGTATCTAAAACATGCATTGAGTTCGCTGCGGTCTTCTAGATAAGGCAACCTTGCTCTACAACTCGCAATATCGCAACCATCGGTGTTGGCTTCGTTCCGTTGAATGTCGGAACTGCGAACGAATCAATGGAATCTATTCCAAGTCTAGAATCGACTTTGATGCCAGATTGGGAGTAGTGAATGAATCAAGGGAATCGATTTCGAGGCAGAGTCGGAGTCCTGAACGAATCGCGGAAATACATTTCGAGACCAGAATTGGAATCGTGAACGAATCGAAGGAATCGATTCCAAGACCGGAATCGGAATTGTGAACTAATCAAAGGAATCTATTCCAAGGCTGGACTTGGAATCGCGAACGAATCGAATCGAAAGAATCGATTTTGAGGCCAGATTTAGAATCTTAAGCGTATCCAAGGAATCGATTCCGAAGCTAGAATCGGAATCGTGAATGAATCAAGTGCTTCGATTTCGAGGCAGAGTCGGAGTCCTGAACGAATCAAAGAAATAGATTTCGAGAGCAGAATTGCAATCGTGAACGAATCACAGGAATCGATTCCGAAACCGCAACGGAAATCGTGAACGAATCGAAAGAATCGATTCCAAGGCTGGAACCGTAACCGTTAATAATTCGGTAAATCGATTTCGAGGTTGGAATCAGAATCGTGAACGAATCGAATGAATAGAAGTCGAGGCTAGAGTTGGAATCGTGAACGAATCGAAGGAATCGATTTCTAGGCAGAATCGGAATCCTTAACGGATTGGAGCAATCGATTCCGTCGTAGACTGAATCGATTTTGACACCAGAATCAGGATCGTGAACAAATCGAAGAAATCTATTTTGAGACCAGAATCGGAATCAAAAAACGAACCAGTCAAATAGATTTCGAGACCAGAATCAGAGTCGAGAACGAATCGAAGGAATTAATTCCGAGGCAGAATTCACAATTCGGTAAATCGATTCCGAGGTTGGAATCAGAATCGTGAACGGATCGAATGAATAGAAGTCGAGGCCATAATTGGAATCTTGAACGAATCGAAGGAATCGATTTCTAGACAGAATCGAAATCGTTAACGGATTGAAGGAATCGATTCCGACGTCGACTGAATCGATTTTGACACCAGAATCGGGATCGTGAATAAATCGAAGAAATCTATTTCGAGACCAGAACTGGAATTGTGAATGTATCGAAGGAATTGATTTTGAGGCCAGAATCGGAATCGTGAACGAATAAAATGAATAGGTTTCGAGACCAGAATCGGTATCGTGAACGAATCGAAGGAATTGATGTTGAGGCTAGAATCGGAATCGTAAATCAAGCAAAGGAATCGATTTTGAGGCCAGAATCGGACTCGTAAATGAATCAAAGGAATCGATTTCGAGGCAGGGTCGGAGTCCTTTACGAATCAAAGAAATAGATTTCGAAACCAAAATTGGAATCGTTAACGAATAGGAGGAATCGATATCGAGGCATGATCGGAATCGTGAACGAATCGAATGAATTGATATTGAGGCCAGAATTGCAATCGAGAAGGAATTGATTCCGAAACCGCAATGGTAATCGTGAACGAATCAAAAGAGGCGATTTCAAGGCCGGACCGTAAACGTTAACAATTCGGTAAATCGATTCCGAGGTTGGAATCAGAATCATGAATGAATCGAAGGAATCGATTTCTAGGCAGAATCGGAATCGTTAACGGATTGGAGGAATCGATTCCGACGTCGACAGAATCGATTTTGACACCAGAATCGCGATCGTGAACAAATCGAAGTAATCTATTTTGAGACCAGAATCGGAATCATAAACGAACCAGTGGAATAGATTTCGAGACAGAATTGGAATCGTGAATGAATCGAAGGAATTGATTTTGAGGCCAGAATCCTGAACGAATAAAATGAATATGTTTCGAGACCCGAATCGGTATCGTGAACGAAAGGAATTGATGTTGAGACTAGAATCGGAATCGTGAACGAATCAAAGGAATCGATTTTGAGCCCAGAATCGGATTCGTAAATGAATCAAAGGAATCGATTTCGAGGCAGAATCGGAGTCCTGAATGAATCAAAGAAATAGATTTGAAGTAGAATTGAAATCGTGAACGAATCGAAGGAATAGACTTCGAGGTATAATCGGAATCGTGAAGGAATCGAAGGAATTGATGTTGAGGCCAGAATTGCAATCGAGAAGGAATTGATTCCGAAACCGCAGTGGTAATCGTGAACGAATCGAAAGAATCGATTTCAAGGCGGGAACTGTAAACGTTAACAATTCGGTGAATCGATTCCGAGTAGAAGTCGAGGCCATAATTAGAATCTTGAACGAATCGGTTTCTAGGCAGAATCGGAATCGTTAACGGCTTGGAGGAATCGATTCCGAAGTCGACTGAATCGATTTTGACACCAGAATCGGGATCGTGAATGAATCGAGGAAATCTATTTTGAGATCAGAATCCAAATCGTGAACGAATCGAAGAAATTGATTTAGAGGCAGGATTGGAATCGTAAATAAATTGAAGGAATTGATTTTGAGGCCAGAATGGGAATCGTGAACGAAGTAAAGGAATACGTTTCGAGACCAGAACCGGTATTATGAACGAATCGAAGGAATTGATGTTGAGGCTAGAATCGGAATCGTGAACAAATCAAAGGAATCGATTTTGAGGGCAGCATTGCAATCGTGAACCCATCGAAGGAATCGATTCCGAGGTCGGAATCGATACCACATAGTCGAATCATCAAAAGGAACAATTTGGTCCAGATCCAGTGTATACAGTAACTATCTAGGAGCTTTTATCTCAGGCTAATGCTAGCCATACGATGTGCAAATTTGAAGGGGGTGCATATTTACCATCTGGCGAAAATTATATTTTTTTTAGTTTTAAATAGAGAGTACTCTTCTATTAAGGATGGTGTAGTTCATCGTTGTTTTTTTGTCCGTTCTTCAGAATGTTAAAAAACATTTTTTTATTTGTTTTTTTTTAAACGAATTTGCACCGGATAATCGCTCGGTAATCGCTTGCTTTATGTTAAGGGGCACCCAACAAACGTGATTATGAATCAAGTTGGAAAGTTTCTCCCACGAATGAGACATTTTCGACTTATCTAAAAGTACAAAGAGAGATGTCTCGATATTTATAGAATATAAATAAGTTACCGTCTCGGTTTCATCAGTAATCCAAAATAAAGATAAATTGAGCAAACCAAGTTGGATAATGGAAGAAATGTTCCCTGCAATAAGTGAGATGCTTCTGGCATTAAGGATACTACTAACCTTTCCATCTTATTAATGCGATTCACGTGGGAGGATCGCACTTAAATTTAATTTAACCAACCACCGTAGTAATAAAGACTATTTCAAATTGATTTTAATGTTCCTTCAGTTACGATGTGCTCACCTATTTTTTTTTTCAGATTGAGGAGATGAAATACCAACTTAGGGATAAAGTCGTGATTGCGTGTAGCTGTAAAAAATTTCAATGCTGTATCTAATGCTAATTCTTTAATTGCTGTTATCTCCCCTCTCACTGAGGCTTATTTTTATGAGGGGGTGGTGCAAGAGTTCTGTTGTAAGCGTCAATCAGTAGGGAAAAGTTGCTTTTCTCTCAGATATTTAGGTTTACCAGTTTCGAGCCGTTTGTGGCGAAAGAATGCATAGTGGAAAGTCGTTAAAGTATCGAGCACGCATTTCATATGACATTTTTGTGAAGTGTTACTGACATAACTTTTGTATCTTAAATTAGTATTCATTATGTTTCCGAGAATTTTGCACTCATTATTAAATTCTAAGTGCTCTGAAACAATTTTGATATGAAGCGTTCGAACTATTCGATTACGACCTGGGCACTGTGGAATTACATATTCATAATAAGCTTGTAATGCTTAGATGCCAACTAAATTTCGACATATCGAGTATCTTGTTTGACTTTTTTGCAGCAACCCGCCTGGGAGACCAGTGTTACTACATGGAGACGTGTAAATACACGGATCAGCACGCGTCTTGCATCCAAGTCCACCATCATGCAGTCTGCCAATGTGAAAATGGTTACCATTCCGTGTCGATTGACAGGCCGTCGAAGAAGGTCTTCTGCGCTGAAGGTTAGTTTCATATGTGAAAGGTCTTTGTTAATATACAGGTTGATCTTACATTTGGGATATCCCTTTACATGGCATTCAGTTCTGGCAGCGGTCTGTAAGCAGTCTTGAGATACTCGAAAAAGGTATTTAAAAAATATGCGATGTCAAATGCGGCCGTGCATCCAGAAACGGATTAGTTCGGAAGATACGTGTTTACCGAATCCAGGTGCCCTGTGGCGTGTAGGCAAACTAAGCGGTTTGTTTATAAAAAATCGTGTCTGTACTTCTTATACAGTTCTGGACAAATGGACATTGAATATGTAGCATGTAAGGTACCTAGGCCGAATATGGCCGCCTTAGGTTTCTTACCCTTTTTTATGATATTCAAGGTAAAAGAACAAGTTATAGTAGTTGTCCATAAACACCGGCTATATAACTTTGTAATAAAGGCAAAACAATCCAAAGGCAACAGCTTAAAAAAATGAAAATTGGGCATATACAGGGTGTTTCAGTTTATTGTTGCATAACTTTAAGATTCGACAGAACTTTTAAAATTAATGCATAAAGTCTATATTAACATGGGTCGAAAAATGCGTGGCTTCCGAAATACAGGGTGTTTAAATTTACTTTCTAAAATAGTTTTTTTAAATATTTCGAACAATATTTGATGTATAACAGTGAAAATTGGTATAAAAGGGTTTTTTGGTACGACAAAACGAACCATGGCCATAGTTTTACTGTAGCCGCTAGAGGGCGCTCTCTACTGTACCTGTAGTGTATTAAAATGACCGAAAAAAAAATTTTTCTTAGTGCAATTTTTTGCTTTTTGAATAAAAAAACTGATTCTTCGCACTTTTCAACATAAAAAAACTCTCCTGTGAGTTTTCATTATAGTTAGCCGTTTTTGAGATATTTCGATTTTTAAGGTTCGACGCATTTTTAATTATTTATGGGAAAATAATATTTTTTTTACATTTTCGATTTGGTCATTACAAGTAATTAAGATGATCGTTTAGATTGTGTTTTTAAACACAGCAATAATTCCTAACTCCAAATGAACACAAAAAACAGAATATTAATTTGTTTAATTTTCAAATATTATTTTTAACAAATTAAATTAATTATTTACAACTAAAATGCTATTGGATAGTTAGAACAAACATACAAAATCTAAAGTAGTTGCTCGAAATGTAAACCTAATTGTTCAATACACAATTCACATCTACGAATGATCGAACGTGGTATAGCATTATTCAAATAAGGCCTTATTTCATCACATGCATTCCTGATTCTTTCTATTAGCATATATCATGTGGTTACGGGAGTCTGGTACACTTTTTCTTTTAGAAATCCCCACACAAAGAAATCTAATGGGTTTACGTCAGAGGATCGTGGAGGCCAGGCGACTGGTCCTCCACGGCCGATCCATCTTTCTGGATAATTTTCGTCCGGCCAGTTTCTAACTATTCTCGAATAATGAGCTGGACAACCATCAAGCTGGAACCAGGCCAATCTTCTTAAATCTAACATAACATCATCCCACATATTTGCATGTTCAGCCTTTAAAAATTCCAAGAAGGTCGCAGCATTTAACCTTGCAGGCAAAAGGTAGGGTCCAAATAGTCGATTACGGTAGATACCAATCCACACGTTCACTCTAAATTCATGCTGAAAATTTCTTTCCCGAACTGCATGCGGATTTTCATGCGACCAAATATGTTGATTATGAAAATTTACCACTCTACGTCTAGTGAAGCATGACTCATCGGTCCATAAAACGTGACTTAAAAAGTCACTATTATTATCAGTTCTATCAAGAATCCACTGACAAAATGTGATTCTTCGTTCTCCGTCCCCTGGCTGTAGTCCTTGCACAGGTTGCAAATGGTAAGGACGTATATGGTCATTTCTAAGAACACGGTGAACATGGCTTGCTGAAATTCCCAAAGCACCAGAAACTCTCCTAACACTTGTGGTCGGATCTCTATCAAACTCACGCAGAATCATATGGGTAAATCTGCGCTGACGAACATTTATATTTTGATCCCTTTGGAGATTTCCAAAACCAATTTCAATTATTTGGCGGTGCACTCTTACAAATACTGAGCGAGTTGGATGTCGTCTGTTTGGAAATCTTCGTGCGTATTCTCTGGCTGCTTCTGCTGCATTTCCATTTACAAATCCATACACAAAATGAATATCCGCTTACTCTTGATTAGAGAATAAAAATGGTCATTTTTATAAAACTTACAAAAAAAAAAACAAGTAAAAGAAACTAGATTTCGTGCATTCACAATTGCAAAAAACGTTTCAGGTTTCAACAGACAACAAAACTAACTGTCAACTAATTGACGTTTAACCTTATTCTGCTTTCAATTTCAAAAATATTTGCAGGGACAGCCCACTTCTAAAAATTATCGAGATACTGACTTTTTAACGTTATTTTATCATAAATAATAAAAATGCCTCGAACCTTAAAAATCGAAATATCTCAAAAACGGCTAACTATAACGAAAATTCACAAGAGAGCTTTTTTATGTTGAAAAGTGCGAAGAATCAGTTTTTTTATTCAAAAAGCAAAAAATTGCACTAAGAAAATTTTTTCGGACATTTTAATACACTACAGGTACAGTAGAGAGCGCCCTCTAGCGGCTACAGTAAAACTATGCCATGGTTCGTTTTGTCGTACCAAAAAACCCTTGTATACCAATTTTCACCGTTATACATCAAACATTGTCCGAAATATTTAAAAAAAAACTATTTTAGAAAGTAAATTTAATCACCCTGTATTTCGGAAGCCACGCATTTTTCGACCCATGTTTATATAGACTTTATGCATTAATTTTAAAAGTTCTACCGAATCTTAAAGTTATGCAACAATAAACTGAAACACCCTGTATGTGGTCATACTTACTGTATGAATGTGAAATGTCTTAAATAACTACTTACTATATAAACTGAAATAAACACGGATATTAGGTTTTAATAGAGAATTTGTTTAAAATATATTCTTTACAAACCACAATCGATAATATTCCAAACTAGAAAAAAGTATTAACCTAATGGAGTAGGTATGCATACTCGTTACTCCTGACTGTTATATAATCTTTTATTTCGGCTCTGTGCCTACGGCCTGACCGTTGAGATTACGTTCCCTATCTACAGCTCCGGAGTCAGTATGTGTGCGTCTCTAGTCCCCCTTACCTTCGTCCTCCTCCCCTTTCTGTACGCTCATGCTCCTTGGAGCGATGCGCGCGCTGGCTAGTGGCGAGCGATTCCCCGCTCGCCCTTCAGTACGCTTTTATCTATCGCACGGATAGGGTGTGTGCGTGTGCGTATGTGTAACATCGCGAGTTAAACGTTGTGTAACGTTCGAGAGAATAATAGTATAAATGCAAAAGTAAGAGACAAAAACCTTAGTTTGACAATTTAGTGTAGATGGCTACCATTTGATATAAAATTGTCACGGTCTCGGATCACTCGGTCCAGACGTGAGACTCCCTTCTAATGGGCACTTGTGTGCAAGCGCACAATGCCTATTCATAGGAAAATTGAAGGGAGTCCTGCAGCCGGATCCATCTACACAATGTTTCGGCCCGACCGGCCCGTCAAGTCGGCCCGACCAGCTGCAGACTTCGGCCCGACCGGCTGCAGACTTCGGCCCGACCGGCTGCAGACTTCGGCCCGACCGGCCGCTAAATTCGGCCCGACCGGCTGCGAATTTTGGCCCGACCGGCCGCTACGTTCGGTCCGACCGGCTGCAAATTTTGGCCCGACCGGCTGCAGAATTTGGCCCGAACGGCTGCAGATTTCGGCCCGACCGGCTGCATTTTTGGCCCGACCGACTAACTAATTATAGCACACCTGCTTCCAGATGGCGATGGCAACCAAAGTATTGAACAAAATTCGCTTCGCCCTCCCCACATTGGAACTGGTGAAAGCATTCTACCCAGAAGCAACATCGGTGGGAGAGAAAACCTACCGAAATATAAAATTGAGGCTTCTCGACTGGAACCTCTGTAGAGCATTGATCATGAGCCCACGGCAGGTAGCGGCGTGTCTGTTACGAGGATCTATGGCTCAAGCGGAGCTCTTTAATAAGGCGGTGGAACCACTTAAACATACTATGCGTTCCAGAGAGCTGACGTCGGAGGCCCTTTCGACGGACGGGGAGTCTAATTATACGTCCCGAAGTAAAAGGAGACGGTGTCAATCGTCCAGCTCAGACGACGAGTACCCGGTCAGAACCGAGAAACCAATGAAGAGGAGGCGGCGAGTATTGTCTTCGAGCTCGGAGGAGGATGTCAATGAGACAAGGCTACGCCGCGTGGAAAGCATGGTCGAGAATCTTTACCACTTGGTCTCAGGAAATAAAGAGAACGATGGCAGCGTCATGAATTCGACGTGGCAAGCTCCAACTACTACAGGTGAAGAGCTGTATGACGCCGACAGTATTGGCACATGTGGCAGCGTAAACGACTGGGACACGTTTTCCCCTGTCACTAGGGAAATCGAGCCTACAGTCCCTAGGGCGGACCCAGTAATCGATCAGGGCATGAAATGCCAGCGTTTCGGGGAAGAGACATGGAACAAGATTCGTTACGTGGACGCTCAAAAAAAAAAACTCCACGCATCACCAGTCTTCAGTACTCTGAAGGTTAACTCATCCTTGTACAACAATGGACATGCAAGCCCAATGACAGATATGTTATCCAAAAGTGACCTGGCCTTCGGGACTATCTCACACGGTCTACTGAAGCAACGGAGAATCATACATGAGGCTCTGAAGGAGGCGGGGAACAAACACCCGGAAGCGGCAGACACTTTGAAAAAAGTTTTTGCTGCTAACAGTGAATACAAGACCATCTCGGACGACCTGCTGCAGTTCGTTTGCGGAAAAAGGGCGGAAATCATCGAAAGTCGCAGGAAACTATACGAGCCTAAAAGTAGTTACTATAGGTCTATCGTCAATGAGATTCCTCCGTCAGGTACGCACTTGTGGGATGAAGAGCAGCTGAAAGATGTGGTTAAAATGCATGGAGTGACGAAAATTGCTCCTGTTCGCTGGCAGAGTAATTTGGGAAAAGTCGCACTGAGACAGAAGGTGCCTCAAGGAACTTCTCATGAAAAGTATCTGCGTCAAGGTTCATTTAAAAAAATGAAGAAGGCAGAGTTTAAGCATTCGCGTAAGCCGGGGGCGAAAAGTCATACCAAGCTAGCTCGTAAGGAGCAACCACCTTTAGATAAAAGGCGGAGTTTTTGACAGTTTTCAGGCAGGACAACTCGCCAAATATGTCTCTGCTTGGAAAAGTATGGGAGCCTCACAATCGATTCTCAGTATCCTGAAAGGCTACGTGATCCCTTTCTCAATAAAGCCACCAATAACAGTACTATCCCAACCGATACTAAACAAATTCGAGACACCAGCATCCACACAAATGGATCGAGAAATACAAAACCTCATAAATCAAAAGGTGGTAGTAAAACTGCAAACAAAAACAGGTTTCTTATCAAAGATGTTTTTGACGCCGAAATCGGGGGGCTTGTGGAGACCAGTGTTCAATCTAAAAAGATTGAACAGCTTCACCACGCCCAAGAAGTTCCGCCTTATGAACCATCGCAAACTGCCATTATTTCTCCAGGAAAGAGATTATATGGTAAAAGTCGACCTTTCTCAAGCATATTTCCATTTGCCAATAAAGCAAAAGCATTGGCGTTATCTGGGACTTTATTACCGGCAAAACATCTACGCTATGACAGCACTACCATTTGGCCTAAGCTCCGCTCCACAGGTGTTTGCAAAAGTTACGAACTGGGTGGCGAGCTACTTGAGGAAACAAAACATTCGAGTAATGGTCTATTTGGACGATTTTTTGATCGCAAACCAGAATCCAGAAGAACTAAAGCGAGAGGTATCCACCCTGATAGATACTCTCATAAAGCTGGGTTTCTGCATCAACCTGGAGAAGTCCGAAATAAGACCTACACAGAAATTGGCATATCTAGGTATTATGTGGAACACCATAAGAAATCAAAAGAGTTTACCGGAGGACAAAATCCACCGTCTGCAAACATCAATCCAAGCTGGAATCAAGAGCAAGACTTGGAGCTGGAAGCAGGTAAAGGCACTGCTAGGGAGAATGGAATTTGCCTCGTTTGTTATCCCATTGGGTCGACTACATTGCAGAAAGATACAAAGAGCAGTCAATCGGATGTCAGAAAACCAACCAAAGAAACTGTTCAATATAGACCTGGAAGTATTGCGAGAGCTAAGATGGTGGGAGAAAAACTTAAAAGGGTCATCCATAATCTGCATGAAAGAACCGGAAGTTCATATAATAACCGATGCCTCAAACACGGGCTGGGGAGCCCAAGTAGGAGACACTTTGAGGAAAGGAAACTGGACAGAGCAGCAGGAAAAGTGGCATATCAACAAAAAAGAAATGTTCGTGATCTACTTAGCGCTAAGAAACCACCTAGATCGATTGGCAAACAAAACACTGTTAATTCAGACGGACAACAGGACGGTGGTTTCCTACTTGAGAAATCAAGGAGGAACCAAGTCGGTCACGCTTTTGGCATTGACCAGGAAGATCCTGGAGCTGGCACATCAATACAGTATGTCTCTGAGAATAGAACATATTCCAGGAAACTACAATATTGTGACCGACCACCTATCCAGAGGAAAGGATCTGCCAGACTGGCACTTATCAAGGATAGCTCAGAAGAGGATCTTCGAAAAGTGGGGAACCCCTTGCATCGACCTATTTACGACTCCAGAATCAGCCGTCGTTACAAGATTTGTAACGCAATTCCCATGCAAGGAGGCAGAATTCGTCAACGCATTTACAAGAACGTGGGAGTACAAGCTAGCGTGGATATTCCCTCCTCCACCCCTAATACCAAGAGTTCTCCAACACCTCAACTATTGTCAGGGAGTTTTCATAATGATAGTCCCCAGGTGGGAAAGGGTGTTCTGGCGGCCCCTGCTGAAGAGACGTGCCATCGACCACCCGTTCACCATTCGGAATCTGAAGGCTCACCTGGAAGATCTTCAAACCAACCAGCCTCCTCCAAAGGTAATGGATTTACACCTGGAGGCATGGAAGATACGGGGTGGTCCGATATAGCGAATCACTGGTCAAAGGATGAAAGGAGAATCTTAGAAACATCCTGGCGCAAGTCAACTCTCAAAACGTATGCCGTTGCATGGAAAAGTTGGCAATCGTGGGCGAAGAAAAGAAGAGTTTCAGTTAAAAATCCAAACCCCACGCAGGTGGCTCAATACCTCTGCTTCCTACACAACACAAGAAAATTGGCGCTTAGAACGATCCTATTACATAAATCCACCATTGCGACATTCTCCAATCCACTACATAGTGAAGGAGTTTCCAGTAGCCCAACAGTGAAACAGGTAATTAGAGGTATTGCAAATGCAAATCCTCCAGCAACTAGGCCAAAGATTTGGAACATCGATAAACTTCTATCTTGGATTAATGATAACCATCCAGATACGAATAGTATCTTTCAAGTGGCCCGGCATCTATCGCTGCTTTTGCTGCTATCATCGGGAAGGAGAGTCCATGACTTGACACTCCTTCGAATAGATTCTGGTTTCTTTGAACAAACCGAAGAATACATAATTTTCTGGCCACAACATGGATCTAAGACAGACAAGCATAACTACGTCCAGTCAGGCTGGAAACTCCTCAAAAATCGAGAATGCATCTGGGATCTAGTACACTGGACAACCATATATCTAGAAATATCAGAAAAGAGAAGGAACCTCCACTGTCGACCGATTCCTCAACTATTCATCACAACTCGTGGGAAGATAGGACCGGCATCTCGGTCAGTGATAGCAGGATGGGTCCGCACAGCGTTGAAATCGGCAGGTATAGAAGGAGGAGCCGGCAGTACCCGCTCGGCAGTGGCAACATCCCGCTTCAATGATAACATGCCATTGGATGAGGTTTTGCAGAAAGGAAATTGGCAGGGATCAAGCAATTTCTTCAAACACTACTATAAAAATATCGATAAGGATTTGGTACCTGACAACAGCAACAGAAGACTTATTTCGGATAAATTTGTCCCTATATAAGTATTATCATGGCTGTGAGCCAAGAATGACTGTTACTTTTCTTTTTATGAACTGTTAGAGTTATCATATTCTGTTTATGGTCTTCATACTATAACCATGTCACAGTACGCTTTCTAACACCGTGGCGCGCCGGCAGATTGTAAACACTTCTCAACGGTCAGGCCGTAGGCACAGAGCCGAAATAGAACAATTTTCCCCCTGAAGGGAAGAAAATTGATATTTCGGGTCTTGCCATAGGCCTGACCTAGGTAACGCCTTGCCGGCGCAAGAGTACTGAAGGGCGAGCGGGGAATCGCTCGCCACTAGCCAGCGCGCGCATCGCTCCAAGGAGCATGAGCGTACAGAAAGGGGAGGAGGACGAAGGTAAGGGGGACTAGAGACGCACACATACTGACTCCGGAGCTGTAGATAGGGAACGTAATCTCAACGGTCAGGCCTATGGCAAGACCCGAAATATCAATTTTCTTCCCTTCAGGGGGAAAATTGTTCTATTTTACCGCTTTGGACTGCAGTTAAAGTTAATTTCATATTAAGAAAGTGTTAGTAATTCAGTACCGTAAATATGGCCAAACAGTTTTACAGTATGTCACAAAATTGTAAATTATTTCAAATTCTACTTCAATTAAGGTTATGTTTGCGACAACAAACCATGTAATTTTTTTACCATCAGAATAGTTCAGAAACACTTACTGTACTTACCGCTGGAATGCGCAGATAATTAGGAATTAGTTCTGAACTTGTTGGAAGAAACCTTATGAACTGATAGCGAACCTAAGAGATTAACAGATCGCAAAGGGTTAAACCTTCTGGGTTAATCTATTGTTATTCTCACAGACGTGGCTGTCATGACATCAGACTTCTCGACGTTTGCCGGCGTGCTATCTGGCATCGCCATTCTGTCGGGACTCATCTGTTTCGTGCTTCACCTGTTCAATCAAAACCTGTACGAGACTCGTCACCATAGGCACAGGTTCGGCAACGCCAACTTAGCCCCTCCCATTTTGTTCTCCAGTGATCCAGGTGAGTTGCGCAGTTTGTGTTTTCTAGCCTCCTTCTATGTTCTCTGTCAATTGGGTGTGTCTCTATCACAAAATTCGTTGTTGATAAAATAACCAAACCGTCAGTAGGTAAATCATCTAACCAACTTATTAACAATCAATCACCAAGCAACGAACAAGTCAATCAGGCAGTTAATCAATTAGTCAGTCAGTAAGACAATAGGTATATGAGATGAAATGTAATCATGGCCAAACGCAGACAGCGCCATTCCGTGCTTGTAAGGAATTCATCAGTGCGGTATAGGCAGACAAACGGGCAGCAAACATAGTGGGTATGGTCTTTTGAAACCTTTGGTTGGTGGCGATTATTAGATCCTCACCTACTTGCGCACCTTTTGTGGCGTTATATTGGCACTTTCCTCCTAGGTGTTGCTCGTAAAATTTGGTAGGATCCCTAGATGGTTCACCTAAGTATGGGAGATAAAAAAAACCCATAGAAAAATTATAAGAGTCAAATCTGGAGAGCGGGCCGGCCACTCCAAAATGCCCCTAACTGAGACGAAACGCTCTCAAAACAGTTATTGATGCTCTTGTAGTATGTGATGCTGCTCTTGTTGAAATCAAATGCCCCCCAAGTCCAACTCATCTAGCCGCAGAGAAAATTCCTGTAACATGCTTACATACCGATCCGAATTCACTGTCATTACGACTTCATTTTTCTCAAAGAACCAGGGAGTCCCAGCTGAGAAAATAGCACACCACACTGTGACTTTAGGTGAATGAAATTCTCGAGGATTGGAGCCTAGTAGCGCATCACTAAAAAGAAAACAATAGCATCCTCAGGAACGACTTCGAGATGACGCTCACTTTCAGAAAGTTCCTGCACAATTACCATCTTGTAAGGATGGCAATGAAGATTATCATGAAGAATTCTCCTCACAGAACGATCCCAAGGGCAGACGTATGTTTACGCGTAGAACGCCGTGGTGATCGCAACATTGTAGCTCTCCCTGTGATAATGTTTTCAGGAGATCTAACGGGTGACATTGCCACCTATGAGTAGTGAGGCGTAGTGCGCGAACAAACTACGACCGATTCTCACGGCTGAGCTACGTGAACTTGTTTTTCATTCCACGAAAAACTCGTTCACTCATTCCAAGCGAACTAGTTTTGAGTGAACAAGATAGGAGACGTTGAACCACCGTAGGCAACCAAGTAAACAGAATGTTGAATTACTGGTTGCCTGGATACGATCGTGGTTTAGGTCAAGGATACTGAACAGGACAAAATGAAGTTATGAACTTTTATACAACATAACATCACCCATTAGCGCTAATGAAGAAATTAGATCAACACTAAACTTAAAATATAAATTAAGCACAAATTTACATTCAAAAACATTATTTTTTGAGTTTTATCGGCTCCTGATCTATTTCTTGGCTTTCGTTTGCTATACTAAAGACAACCGTTATATTAAAAAGAGGACTGTTCTTCCGGAGCCCTAATAATTAAAAATCTTTTGAACAGATGAGAATAAACAAATGTGTATCCCACATTCTTTTAGATTGTTTTAAAACGTGTTTATTTCAAAGCTACAATGACTATGTGAGCGACAGGCAAGAAAATGCGAAAACAAAAACGATCAATAATACAATATGTTCCGAAGCGGTTATACAATATTCATCCATATACTAACAGCGCCCGGCGCTGCTTAGCTCCGCCGATCGGATGAAGATGAAAAACGTTTTTTTTACTGGCATAATAATGAGTTACGTGATATTGTCACGTAAAATAGTTCTAGGAACAAGTTCGTTCTAGCGAACGTGATCCGTTGAACTAGCTTACTGAAATAAACTAGAAAGCACATTATTACACTTTTGAGCAGCATCGTGAATCCACCTTGTATACGGTTGGTTATGGTCGTAGAGATGATCCAATTCAGCTTGAAGAATACGAGTATGTTTTCCCAATACAAATTATATGTTTCTGATAAGATTTAGAGAAAATTAATTCTGCTATGGTTGATGCGTGTGAAAAACTTTAATAAGTTAATCGTAAGTTTGGTGATTTTATTATAGAAGTGACGGATGTTGTGATAGAGAAAAAATAGCTGTCTTGTCGCGGTGTCAGATATCCGTGTTGTGTTGTGACACTTGTTGTGTTGGCTTGCTAATCAAAAACTTAACTCTGTTGACACTTCCACACTAGTTTACAGTCAGGAGCAAACCCTAATGAATCACGTCCAAAGTTATGAAATGTTGCTCAGAAACACCTTGTATGAGACTTACCAAGCTCGTAAGAAGGCTAAAATGAATTTTCGTTTTCAATAAATCGTGATAAATCACTCAGATGTCGCCTTTTCTCTGGAATTGGCTCAATTTGATTTTCATCTGCCCGTTAAGCGATCTTTCATATCGTAGATAAAAAAACCTCACAAACTGAAACTTTGAAAAATGATCCTGTGCTTTCCTCCTTGTCCGAAGCATTTATGATCAGACGAACTTATACTAATGGAAGGTTGAGACACGGAAGTGAAACAAATCGTATTTATTTCTATATACTTATATCTGGGTTGGCCATATTCGACGAAAAGATGTTTTTTTTAAATCATAGGAAAAAAAACACATTTTTTACTGTTCATTTCAAAAATCGTTTATTTGGATTCAAGAAGATTTGTGAACATCATATTTTGAAAACGATATCTCTTAAATGACCGCCATGAGCCTGTTCAGCGAAAAGTGCCCGTGATGTAGCATTTTCCATCGTTTTGGCCAATGTTTCGGTTGATATGGAGGTTATTTCCTGTCGGATGTTGGCCTTAAGTGCGTCTAGGGTCCTTGGCTTGTTGATATTAATCTTCGATTTCAAGTAGCCCCACAAAAAGAAGTCTGGAGACGTTAAATCTGGTGAACGCGGTGGCCAGTCAAAATCACCATTTTCGACATCAGACGTCCAGGGAACAATCGTTTAAAAAAAACGATAGTAGCTCGAGCTGTGTGTGGTGGAGCGCTATCTTGTTGACACCAGAAATGCTCCATACTATTGTCACGAACAATTGGCATCAAAAAATCGCTTACCATATCGCGATAACGCTCCTGATTGACGGTAACCGCTTTGCCAGCTTCATCTTCGAAAAAGTACGGCCCAATGACCATACTAGCACAAATACCGCACCAAACAGTCACTTTTTGGTCACAAAGAGGTATAGTTTATCTGAAGTCACTTGAAACACTGTGAAATACCGGGTGCGTTTTATATATCTATATTTAACACGCTCTGTTGCTGCAAAAATCGCCAAATTTCGCAGCAAATATATATAAGATCAAAGGCAGTTTCACCGGTCCACGTGGAGTAAAGCACGCCTATGCGTGGACATAGCCAATGAGAAAGCGTGTATTTCAGAGCTCCGAACAAGTGCAGGTGCACTGAAGGTGGCTACTGAAAATTGAAACAGTTTAGCCAGTGCCGTGTAGCGGTGAATAAACGTGTTTTCTTTAGTCTGTCCGTGGTTTTTCATAGATTTTATTAGTTTGTGTGTTTTTGACTTTTGAATACTCAGTTTACTTGTTGATTTAATTGTTGTGTTGATTGTTCTTGTGTGTCCTAACTATGGCTCTTTGGAGACCTTGGGAAAATGCTCCAAGCCACGAGGAGATGGTTGATGAACCTGTGCAGGCAGAATTCTTTCATAAAGATTTAGAGGAACAGACCCAAAGAGTAATCCTAAATATGTATGATTGTCTGAAAAACGAAAATCCAGATTCCTCGCAAAATCAAATTTTAAACAGAATTTGTATCCTGACAAAAATCAGTCGGTCTACCATTTATCGGGTTATAAAAAGGGGAGATGTAGTCAACCATTCCTTTCACAGAAAGCGCATAGGGCAAAAATTAAAAAGAATAGACGTGGGTTTTCAGGAAGATATTCGTCGTATAATATACGGATTTTATAAAGAAAATTTGGTGCCCACGTTGGAAATGATACGGGATAAATTAAAAGATTATCCTAAAGATTTTTATAATTACAAATGCTTAGACTCACTGCACTGTATTGTAAAACTGTGTGGTTTTCAATACAAAAAATTAGATAAAAGAATGGTGATTATGGAGTCGTCTCGAATCGTTGAATTGCGCCATGAATTTTTGCACAAAGTTAAAATCTATAGAGAGCAGAAAAGAAATCTGATTTACCTGGATGAAACGTGGTATGATACCCATGATGTTGTGCAGTACGGCTGGGTTGACGACAGCAACAAGTGCATTTTAAATGCACCATGCAACCGTGGAAAACGAATCATTATTCTCCATGCTGGCAGTGAAAATGGATTTATACCTAATGCCTTGCAGTTATCTGCCAAAAATATCAAAGAATCATGTGCCGACTATCATGAGGACATGACCTCCGACTTATTTGAAAAGTGGATAGAGCAGCAGATAATACCAAACATTTCCCCAAATTCAGTGATTATTATGGACAATGCGCCATACCATTCCCGACAGAAAAACAAAATTCCGAATACAGGCACAAAAAAACAAGACATTATTGATTTTATGAAGCATAAGGGAATGGAAATACCACAAAAATCAACCAAAGCCATATTATTGGATCTTACTAAAAGACAAAAATTTGAAAAAGAGTATGTTGTTGACAATCTGCTTCAGCAAAATGGCCATGAAGTATTACGTCTACCTCCCTATTACTGCATTTTTAACCCGATTGAGTTGGTCTGGGCTGCTTTAAAAAAAAAAGTAAGAAAACATAATCAGACCCCTCAATTAAGTGAATCGCTATTGGCCACAATAAGAGATGCAGTATCTCATATTGCTGCCACAGACCTATGGAAGCAGTGTTCTAGGCATATTATTGAAAAAGAAAATGAATATTGTGTTTTGCCTCCTGTAAATCCCGTTGTAATTCCTCTACAAGATGACTCTAGCGACAGCTCCGAAGGCGAGGATGATATATAAATACCTATAATGTAAGTCTTTATATACCTTTTTATATACCTACCTGCTATGTAAATATTTGCCTATGTCAAACGTTGGAATTCTGTAATTTTTCCATTTCTTAACTTTCAGTCAACATAAATTAAACTCCCAATATAAGTATTTTTTTATCCCAAATCAAAAAAATAAGAAGATAGTAAAATCCATTTATTGTGATATAAAAACATTATTATTATTATCGTTCTAAATAAATAACCGCACGCCTATGATACGTCATGAAATTACAAAGGACGCGCCGACCAAAGGTTTTTATGCTATTTCAAGTGACATCAGATAAAGAATACCTCGTGAATAATTTGAGGATTTTCAGTACCATAGAACCGACAATTTTGTTTGTTTACGGCTCTGGTTAACATGAAATCAGATTCATCGCTCATGATGATGATTTTGCCAAAAATGATCGTCACTTTCAACCATTTTGATGACTCTTTGGGCCCATTCCAATCGACGTGGCTTATCGGCAAGTAACAGGTTTTGTGTCAGTTGAATTTTGTATGGGAACAAATGCAAATCATGACGCAATATGCGACGTAAAGTGGTTCGTTTTATGCCCAACTGCTCAGATCGACGTGTTTCAGATGTTGTTGGAGACCTCTGAACACTGGTCCGTACGAGTGCGATATTTTTATCCGATCGCCTTGGTCGTTTTTTATTTGGACGCTTGAGATTAGTAATTGCCTCACCTGATGAAAATCTTTCATACAAACGATACAATGTAGTCGCGGAAGGCGCAGTTTTCACTTTATTTATTTTTCTCCATGCCACTTGAGTTTTCACAATTGACTTGTTTTTTGGGATGTAAATTTCAACAATCTGAGAGCGTTCGCGTGGAGTCTACTGCTCCATTGCAAAAATCTCCTTAGACTGATGCTTCAAACGCGCTACGTCATTACTCGATCTGTCATCTCTGTCAAAAGTTACAGTGTGGCCACATCTTTTCGTCGAATATGGCCAACCCTATATATACTTATATTTACTAGACCCACTCTTAGTTTCAGTTACAGATAACCGCTTTATCCCCGATAGACAATTAATAAATACTACTAATCCTTTTATCTGTTAGATCAATTGTAGTTTTTCGTCTTTGCCTAAGTTATTTTTCTATCTAAATACAGGGTTTGTCCGGAAAGTAATAGGACTGAGTCGATTTAAAAAAAATTATTGAGCCAATCGTTACAATTCTTTAAAAACTTTCAAAATAGGCTCGATTTCCAAGCATTGAAGGCGTCATGGAAGGCATTATCCGAAATAGCCTTGAGAGCCGCGGTGCATGCTGCTTGGATTCCCTCTCTCCCTCGTCTCAAAATGCTTGCCTTTCATCGGCCTTTTCAGGCGAGGAAACAAAAAAAGTTCGGGGGGGGGGGGGCACATCTGGGTTGTAGGGCGGCTGCAGAAGCGTTGGGATGCCGGCCTTGGTCAGGTAGCTGTTCACAAGAAAGACGGTGTGAGCCGGGGCGTTGTCGTGGTGCAACTTCCAGTCGGCTGCGATGTCTTGTCGGACCCGACTGACCCCTCGCTTGAGTCTCCTGAGCACTTTCACGTAAAACTTGGCGTTGACGGTTTACCCAGGAGGAACAAATTCATGGTGGACGATGCCTTTGATGTCAAAATAGACAATGAGCATCGCTTTCACTTTGGATTTGCTCATTCTTCCATTTTTTAGGCGAGAAGACGCCGTCGTGTGCCACTCGGAAGATTGCCTCTTTGTCTCGGGATCATACTCAAAGACCCACGACTCGTCACCTGTGATTACGTTATTCAAAAATTGGGGGTCACTTTCACACATGTTCAAATTTTCTTGGCACACTTCCACTCGCTGCAATTTCTGGTCGTCAGTGAGCACTTTTGGGACCATCTTCGCGCACACCTTGCGCATGTTCAAATGCTGTGTCACAATGTCATGAACCACAGATTTTGGTAAATTTAACATCTGGGCAATTAAACGAATACTTACTCGACGGTCTGAGTTCAAAACTTTGCGCAGACGAGTCACATTATCGGTGTTTGTCGAAGTCGAAGGTCTTCCAGCACGGTCTTCATCAGCGACCTCTTCCCGGCCCTCCAAAAAGGCCTGGTGCCACCGAAACCCACCACTTCTTGCTAAAGCAACACCTTGGTAAGCCTGCTTGAGTATATCAAACGTGTCTGTCGCAGATTTACCGAGTTTCACACAGAATTTAATCGCATACCTCTGCTCTAACGAACGCTGCATTTTCGGCTTGCACCACTCACAGAAACACGTCGAGCGAAAATGCCTGTCCTAACTCTCCAAGTGCTCGGAGACAACTGGCCAGCCGCTCATTCGTTAGCTAGGAACGCCCTCTACCGAATCCAGTCGGTGCTCCGAAAGTATAGTCATGGCGGAATAAAATGAGTCCTATTAGTTTCCGGACAAACCCTGTATATATTTCCTGACTGGTGAGTATAGAATGAACTCACTCTTCAATATTTTCATAGTTTTAGTTATAGTCTGTTGATGCTTGTTATTTTTCATTTTTTACAATCCTAACGTTTATTATACCCTTATCTACGGCGTTAAATTCAATACATTAATATATTTCGCTTTGAAAAATACTGCAGATGTAGTCGAAACATCAATTATTTATTACCCATAACAAATTTATTTATTGGCTAGCTAAAGTGCAATGTATCAGATATTAAATAAAGGACTGCTTGTACTTGCAGCACGCTGTTGGTTTATTTCTGCTTCCCGGATATGTGAGAAAAATTTAGTCATCCTTTATTGTACATATAAACCAACAGCCGGACGAAAAGAATTGCGTACGTGCTATGAAACAGGGTCAACTTTGCAGATGTCGTTAAGTGGGTAATTTGAGCACTTCAACGCTTACTGCATGAACGTGTGATTCATACATATTTACACATGAAATAATTATGTTGTAACTTTACATCGTTTCGTATTGATGCACTTAATTTTCCCAGTCTAGTACTTCTTGTACCTATTATTACTGCAAGCGAAATACAAAATTACCACGGTAGTATCAATTTTGCTTAAATGTGATAGGGGGGTTCATGTGCGCTTGAGTTCCGACTCGAAGCTTATCTAGCATCAACATTGATTAACCTATTAGTTGAGTTGAGTTTAGTGTTGTGTTTATTTTTTCGTTCGTCGCTGTCTGTCTCAAAAGTCCTGATAAATAGAAGAGATATGAAAATGAACTCTATCACTGGCCTATCTGACCCACAATACCGTGTCACAGAACGTACCAGCTATTTTCAGCACGTCAGATCGATTTTACCAAAGGATAACCGAGGAACGTAATGGAAGATGGACTTGAGGATTACAGGGTAATTTTCTTACGATATCTCAACGTATTCCACTCACTTTTATGTGACCTTGGTGCTTCGATCTGGAAAGTGTGATTTCCATTTACCCAAAAGCAGCGCATAAGTACATTATACAGGAGAATCGATTGTAATTATTACTAAGGCTTTTATGTACTGTAGTGCAATACCTAGAAGTTTTGTTGGCATTAACTACATCTATCTGCATAAGCAACTCATCAAGAGGGGTTAAGATCACGGGAACTCAAGGGCTAACCACACTCATCCGGATCGCACTTAATTACCTTATATCGTAAATATGTTAGGTAATAAATAGGTTGCATAATAGTACGGGAGATTATTTTAAAATACCGAAGCTGAGGTTGACTTCTTAGTTTTCATGTTACCGATTGTGAAGTCGATCAGCACTAACAACGGTGTTAATACAAGATTTTGCAATTCAATCATTAGAGCTAAAAAACTATATTTGGAAATGGGATTTAAATTTGTATAAACATTTCTTCTTATACCATTGGAAATGACACATTTTATTGGTTCCATAACCGGTGCAAGGCTAAATGCTGCTTGCTCTTGATAATCGAGACTGCGTTTTGTTAGTGCTAATGACAACTTTATGATTTTTGCAAAATAAGTTTACACTATACGGTGAGGTTCAAATTTGGCTGATGTCGTAATGTGTACGAGAGAAGCGTGACATACTCGTATATATGTTAGAAAAAGTGCTCTGATGGGATCCGTGACCTCGTACTCGGGTTGTTCTAGACAACGTGGTGCTTCTATCTCTTTCTCACGCACGTATTGCATCTTTCTCGCGCTCCTCTCGTACACATTACGATGTCAGTGCTATAGTCGAAATCACGAAAGATGACGATTACGTCATACCATAAATTGTAACGAAATAATTACCGGACGTACGTCGATGATAAGGTTACGATGTCAGGAACATGTGATGGAAGTTAGCTGATTTCAGTGATTATTTTTATTTATTCTATTTCATGATTTTAAATTATCATTATCCGTGCACAAATTAACATCTTAAGACTTCTATTTGCAATAAAATTACATATTTATTAAAAAAAACAGCATTTCCTCTGTTCACAATAATAGTACGTATTTTGAACATATTTGTCATCTAATATTGTTGAGTCCCTAAAGTTCTTACCAAAATCATAGTAATACATTGGTATCAGCTCCATTAAAACGACCAATTGATTCTGAGAACATGGTTTTATTTTATAAAAAAAAATAAAAACACAAATAAGCATACCAAAGTGAAAATATTTTTGTACTATTTCACGTCATGCCATCCACTATTCATTTTAGCATAAGCTAAAAAAATTATATAAAACATATATCAAATAAAATAAACTGTACATTTCAATATGTTATTCCATTACTTATGGTCAAATTCAGATTAAAAATTAATCGCTACTGTCAGATTCAGTATCGGTATCTGAATCAAATGAGATTATCAGTGGTTCTATTTCACGAGTAATAGTTTTGTTGTACCACTCTAAAATTACATCATGGGTATGCGTCACACATTTTTTCCAAACCTCTGGTGTAATTTGTGACAGAGCTTCATTCCACATAGCTAAAACATTTTCATCACTATGACCACATCTTCCAATATGTCTATCATAATACTGCTTAGCATTGGCCCATATTAACTCGATGGCATTAAATTCACACTGGTATGGGGGGGTACGAAGAACTTCATGTCCATAACTTCTTATGATTTCATCTATTAAATACTTCTTTTCCTTCCTTTTTGTTTTCACTATATTCAATAACTCCACTTTAGTTAATGTTGGTTGGAACACAATTTTATTTTTAACCAGCCAGTAAATACTCTCTTTTTTTGAAGAACTTGTGTTTGGAGTCTTTTCCAATAAAATGCTATGATAGGATGCATTATCCATAATTATCACTGATGGCTCTTCCAAGTTGCAGATGAGTTTTTCTTTTAACCACTTAATGAATGTCTCGCCGTTCATATCACCATGGTAATCTGCAGATATAGACTGTGAGGAAAATAACAGACTTGCTCCATCAACAAATCCTTTTTCGCTCCCTGCATGGACAACAATAAATCGCTTTCCTTGAAAGCCCAATGGTCTCCTTACACTTTTTATTGACTCATCTTGCCAAGACTTTTTTGGACTGCCTTTTGAAAATATCCATGTTTTATCCATGAAAACAATTTGATGCGAGGAAGGGTTCACATAGTCATTATAACTTCTCAAAAATTTGGTGCGAAGTAAAGCAATACTGGATTGCTCAACTAGAAATCTTCTATTACCATCTTTTTTATATTTAAAGCCTATGGTGGGCAACAATCTTTGTAAAGAGCTATTGCTGATAGAAGCAAGCTCTTTCTCTTTAAGCGTTTTATTCAAATTTGCTATTGTGACATGTTTCTCTGAAACAAAACAAAAAATCAATAATTTGGAATGTACCATCTCACGCTCGTGATCATTACTTTCACTATACATTTGATACACTGTATCTCGTATATTATGCCTGACTGCATCATGTAAATCTGTAGTCTTAGACTTTTTTCTGGGTCTCTTCTTTCCAGGTGATCTTAGGACATTACCATTAGATGATAAACGGCGCTGTATTCTGGTAATAGTGGACAAACTGATACTTAGTGCCACCCTCTGAAAAATAATATAGAATAAATTGTCAATCATATGACCATATTTCTAACTATTACAAACCTCTTGGACAGCTAACAATGGTAATAGAGGCCCTCCATTATCCTTTTCTTGTTGAAAATAATTCAGCAAGGATAGTACCAAGCCCTGTGATTGAGAGCTAAGAGTTTTGCCTTTCGTAGCGAAAACTAGAATTAAAGTCTTAAATGACTCTTATGTTGGAAATTATTTAGTTTCTACCGTAATAATAATTTTTATTAGGAGTTTTTGTTTTGAAAAAACAGTTATACACACAACAGAATACACCTCAAGACAGGAACACCAACGACCGAAGTATTGTTCGAAAACAACCTAACCTGCAACGAACTGTCAACACGCTGACATGACATAACCTCACTTGTCATCTTTCAAATGTGATCAATCATGAAACATGCAAAAATCGTCTGTCTTTATCGGATACATGCAATTCAGCAATACTACTTGTTTAGACAATAAAATTTTGTTTGTCTCTGTCTAACACATCTGAACCTTTATTTAAAAATATTCACAAATGGCTGTCGTTTCGTGATTTCGACTATATCTGGTTTTCAGTGTATATGTATAAAATCAAAATTGAAAGAATTGGATTAAAATTCCATTCCATTTTTTCCGCCGTTGTTTTAGTTTGTGGCTCGTATTATCCCGTTGCATTTATTACCTTCACTCAGGTATTCAGAATGGTCATAAGTTCGTTGTTAGAACAGGTCATTGTAATTAAACATTCATTCAGTCCTGAAATTGAAAATCATCATTTAAAGATAATTTCGAATTCCCGAGTTTCGCGAAATTTCGACAGCCGAATTTTTCAACGAGTCAGCTTAGTTTGTGATTCTTACTGTCAAATTGATAGTCCTAATGGTATTGTGACAACCTTGTAAAACACTTTCTATTTCTACCTATTAGGGACTTTCTAGTAATAATTCAGCTTACAACTTAATTGTGAGGCAATATAGGAGCACGCAGAAGCATTGGATGAATCTCTTCTTTTTGAAACGTTTTTTATCGGTATAAAAATCCATTTTTTCAAACCGGACCATCATTTGTTACTTGGAATTGCCTCATGTGGTTGGTTTCTAACATTTATTCTTTGTGCACAGTGGTCATAAATTCGTTGTTAGAAGATGTAATAGTAATAAAACTTTTATTTACTCTCGAATTCGAGAATCATTATTCAAAGAAAATTTCAATTTCAAATTCCTGACTTTCGAAATATTTTGACGGTAGAATATTTGATAGAATTTTTGACTTAGTTAGCTTGGTTTGTGATTATCATAAGTAATATCATAAGGGCATCCAACTTTTCCGAAAAAAAAATAGATGCTCGAATGGTATTTGACTAGATTATTTCATGAGTAACAGCTTACAAAATTTATTGACAATAGAATCAGAAAAATTGTTAGGCGTCGTTTTATTTTGTCCTAGGAGACCATAATTACTTGTTATCAAAGGTATTAATCTTTGGTGACAACAGCTGTCAAGTTTTGCCGCGGGAAGCTTAAAAAACTATTGATAGGTGCTGTCATACAATTTTTCCATCTAGAAACCATTTGTAATTCAAAATTGCGCATTTGTGATAGGTAGAAATTGAGACGAGGGGAATAATCACTGTAAATTGACAGTTTCAATGGAATTGAAACTTTATTGTCGTTCAAAGGTATCGCGTACTGTTACGGACCGACCTTGTAAAAACATTTTCTATCACTGTTTAGTAGGAACTTTCTAGTAATAGTGCAGATCACAGTTCACAACTTTGAAGTAACATAGCAATTTCCATTAATAAAGTATGGCCCAATCACTTTGTTTCCTAAAATGCCTGCCCATACATTAATTTTTGGGGGTACTGGGTATGCCCTTCTACAAAAGCTGAGGATTCTCATTGCTCCAATACCTGCATTATGCTTATTAACAAATCTATTTAGATAAAATGTGCATTCATCACAGAAGTAGATATTCTTTACATGAATGGTACTATCACTAATCGCAGCAGTCATTTGTTCACAAAACTCAACTCGCCTATCGAAATCATCTTCGGTTATCTCTTGCAATATTTTCGTTTTGGATGGATGAAATTTATGGAGTTTAGTAATTGTGTGTACAGAGCCTAATGAAATACCAGTCACAGCAACAATTTTTGTAATGAAGTATTAGGATTTATTCCAAAATGACCCAAAACTTCAACTTGAGCGGCTCCGATGATCACGTTTTTTATTTGCAACAGATTCAGTTTGAGTAAATTTAGTAACAAGGTCCAAAACATACCTATGCGAAGATATCTTCCGCGGATATCTGGCGTTAAATGTGACGGCAGTTTGCTGAGCGTATTGATTTTGGGCACCACAAATAAGAATTATTTCCACTCTTTCGGCTAGTGTGTAAACCATCTTGGAAGTTAAATCAGAACCAATAAATTAATTTTCACTATGCCAAAATTGTCACAAATTAAATTCTTTCTTCCCTTTAGCAACAATTAACTGAACAGGTATAACAATAAATACCATTCGCCTAGAATATCTGTGTTAATGAAAGAATGCGGAAAAAATTCGGGTTGTTATTTGGTTGTTGCCACGTCTATTCTTCCCAATTGATGTTTATGTTGGTAGTTTCCGTTTTACATTATAAACGAGTTTTAGATTTGGCAAACCATAACGGGGAACATTTTGAACACTTATTGAAATAAAAAGTGATATTTTCGAGTGTTGTTGTTTTCTATCTGAACAAATTAAGATACATTAAGATTTTTCTAATTTTCTCAAAAACGAAACGACTGATTTTTAAAAATCAAACGTCAAAAAGAGGACTTTGAAGCACCTCTTAAACAAGTTATTACTCGATACCCCTTGTCACTTAAAAAATTTAAGGGAATGACCCTGGGTGCCGAGGGTGAAAGGGGGTGAAGTAGTTTTTGATTAAAAAGTGTTGACAAATCTTTTGACGTGTCTCGGCGTTTTTTCTTTTAATCAGTGGTTTTTGATAAATGCGTGGTGGAAAGTTTTCAAATGGATATCCTGAATATGTGCATTTGTTTGCTTTGCAACGAAGGCAATATACTTAGAACTCGCGGGCGATTTGAGGACAGCTAAATCCTTAAACTGCTTTAAACGTTTTATCTCCCGTCGTGGCATGGGTAAAGAAATTGATAGCGACAATGGGAGAAACTTTGTTGGCGCGGCCAAGTAGTGGCGAGTGGTAGTCGGCTCTCTACGGAATGACATTTACTTTCGAAATGATTGCTTAGACAATTCAATTTCATGGACCTGCATTCCACTATTTACTCCACATCAAGGAGGACTTTAGGAAGCAGCCGTAAAATTTCGCAAATCTCATTTATTGGAACAATCAAACATGGATATTTCACGTATGAACAATTGAATACAATTCAAGCAGTCCTAAATTCAAGACCACTCATCCCTCTGTCTAATGATCCTGAAGATTTATCAATCTTGACCCCGGCTCACTTTATAATTGATGATCAACTCCTTTCAATACGCCAGCTGACTACAACTGCACAGAAGAATCGTCTAGTTATGTGCAATCTTTTACAACAACGTATCCAACATAATTGGCGACGTTGGTCCAACGAGTACCTTACCACACTTCAGCAACGTACCCTCTGTACAAAGCCGAGTCCAAACCTAAATATTAACATTTCGGTGCTGATAAGGGACCCATACCCGCCACCTTTTTGTTGTCCAGTAGGAAGAATCCTACATTTCCATCCAGGTTAAGACGGCGTTGTGCGTTTGGTGACAGTACGAGGTAAACCCAGAATCTAGAGACCGAAATGTGTAGGTTTCTGACTGTTGAATGATGTGCGCGACTTTATCCACAGACTTTTTAGTATTTTAACCTTCAAATACGTATGCTGTTTACTTGTAGGTTATCATCAATCATCTAAGTTCAGTTTTAAGTATGTTCCTATTGAAATTATATTCTTCAAAGCGTGCGGGATCTGTTAAATAAATAAATAAAGAATGGTCATTGTCCAACAGTTAAGGAAACCATTTACAGGACAATCCTAAGAAAAGATAAATCTAACTTACAGAAATAGAAAACACACAAAAAGCAGTTGATTCTATTTAAAGGGAAAAACAAACAATAAAAAGAAGCAAAAAACATATTTCAGCTCAAGTGAAAAAACATATGCTAAATTTATCACAATAATTGGATATGACATTGTTGGAAGTTTCACACATTACATATACGGGTGCTTCCTAAGATAAATGTGTGCTGTTCAAGCTGAAAGCCGCCCGCCACTTCAGTTTTGTAATGAGGTACCATGAACACAACAACTTTTTGTGATTTAACTTCAATACATTCCATTTTTAAGCCCACGTTTCCTGCTTATAACTGCTACATAATCTTTTCGGTATAAACATTCCTTCTTTTCAAACCGGACCCTCATTCGCCCCTTGGAATTGCCCCATTTGGTTGGTTCCAGGTCCGGTGCTAGGCTCGTTCCCTCTGCCGATCATCGAGCGCAGCATGACGACCACCTCCTCTCGTGCAAGTTCCACCCAACGCAGCTATGTGGGCGGACACGCTGGGCGGTCCTCGGCGTCGTTCGCATCTCGTCGCGCTAGCAGCGCACCGGGAAGTCGCACGACGGTCGCGTCGCAGTCGCGCGCAGGTGCGGCGCAAGCCGCTGCCATCTTGCTGCTCTCCTACTGTCCGTCCGCTAGCGGTGGGGATCGGGATGATCAGGAGAGGCAACAGCTACCACGTTACGGTAGACACGGCACGCACGGAACATTGTTAATACAGAAACTGATCTAAAGGCAGAATTATTGATTTTTGAGGAAAAATGTTAAAAACGTTTATAGAATTCTGTAAATGGTAAAACGTAAAACAGATTTATGATATGTGTGATTCAGAATTTTTGCTTCATTGGGGTTTGTTTCACCGTTTCAAGCATTGGCTTAAAAAGCAGTACACATCGGGAATCGTAACCGGAATTTATGCAACTCGATAGAACACATGTCACAAAAATGCAAAAATTTGCTAACTATATCAACTTATTTTACCTTGTTTCTTTGGTAAAAGGGCGTAGTCGGTTTGAATTCAAGTATTGTGTATGTTCGAAAAATTGAAAGCTATACAGACTACTAATAAGTTCAACACTGAATATTGTGAAACATATTTAATATACTTTTCAAGTTGTTCCTCTTTAAGAGCAGTTCCACGTGTCATAAACTGACAATCACACACCATCTTACATTTCTTGTGATACTGGTTAAAAAGAGATTCAGCAATAACTCTTTTTACGACGAACTGAGCAAAATTTCTCATCTAGTGTTGAGGAATTACCTAGCTCAATTGGAATTCTCAGTGAAAGTTAAAGCTGTCAAGGACCGACAAAAATGGAAACACAAAAGTTTTACCAGTGTTTCATTTACATACTTCTCTGCATAGAAGGGAACACTGAGGTTCTGTGGAATATCTTGTCCAAATGGGAATTCAAAATCATGCAAACAGGAACCTTCCATATTCAAGCAAAAGTTAGTTATCGACAAAAAAGGTCTGTATGTCACGGACAGGTCTAAAAATGTCATAGACTGACATCTGACAGTTCTTACTGACGCAAAAACTAGCACCTGTGCCGGTCATAGCTTTCTGACATTATCGTGGTATTGCTCTTAATATATACTAGAAACATACAACATATTTTTTAGATCAAACAAAAAATTATCAGATGGACAATAAAAAAAGCACAGCTTAATATTACTATTAATAACACACATTATTTTGCCATTTAGATCAGTTTGAGTTACGAAGGCTGCTACAAGTAGTTTGATATTTTAGCTACAGGTTCAGATTGAACGTGAGCGTCTGTGGCTAAGGTCCTTTGTTTTCTGTGTGGCTGCGCTGACGTAATTTTTCATTTCTCTCAATTTCTAACACTCTTAACACACAAATAAATTTTTTAGGTGTAGATGAGTTTTGGTGTCTGTCTCTGCTCAGGATTTTGAGACAATCGATTTGAAAAATAAACAAACTACATGATTTGTTGCGTTTAGAAATTGTTCATATTTGTAATACAAAAACATAAAGCGAGCCTTAAAACATTCTCAAACAATTTTTCCCTGAGTTTTGAACTTACAGATGGAGAAAGCAAGATGGCTGAGGTGAAGTAGGCGTTCTTAGAGAAATTTACAAAAACTAGATAATTATTAGCTAAATATTTGATAGATTTTATACTACGTAGTTTCAAATAATACATATTTGTACATAAAAATTATAGCACCACTTTGAAATGCCTTTTTCAAATCTTTAGATTCACATATGTAGTTTCACTGTAGGTGAATACTTAATATATTCTTCAAGCATTGCTTTAAATGAACACACGACACATATCATTCATTGGCACAACAAGGGAATTGTAGCATAATTCACTCATAAACCCAGCTAAGTCAACGGCACGCTATATGCTAAATCAATTCTCATCACAACAAAAATGAAAAAACAGAAGATATGTTGATTCCTTTGTGATAGGTGATTTTAATGTTGAAATATTAAGCATTTCTCCAATAGCAAGGGTGAATGACTGACGAATTAATTAAACCTTACAATAACAATTTTACTAATGAAAACCTTGTTATGCTATTGATTATGTAGAGGCTTGCTAGGTCCTATTTTTTTATATGATGTTGTGTGGCATGAACCGGTATCTGTTTCCCTTATGTTTTTGTATGTTTCGCTAAATGCTGATTTTGCATGGCAAATTATTGATAGCTATCGGAGCAAATGAAGGCTGTTGATCTTCGGATATTGATTTGTAAATAAAAGTATTATAGGATGATATTTAGTAGCGGTAAAACTTGCCCTTCAAAGTGTAAGCGTAAAAATTTTGCGTCAAGTCGTAACAGATTATAGTGTGATGTTATAAGTCGCTTCAAATCCTGTATTTAAAATATGACCCTATTTCTGCTATTGAGATTAAAGCCTCATATGCGGTATACACTTTTGTTTCTTGTAATTATCTAGTCATTTTGAAATACTAAATCAATAAATAGTCAAGAAGCATCATGGATTCTTTGATTTAATCAAAATAGTAATTATCGTATTTGTAAAGAACGTAATAACCGTTGAACTCGTAGCGAACATAAAAGTTTGTGGTATTTTATGTTTGGTTTTAATTTGTAAAATAAATGTTTCATGTAACTGCCGATCTTTAACCTTGTTTTTCGAAACTCCCTAACTTTTAGACTTTTTGGACTTTTTTTCGGACAACAAAAAGCTTCTGCAGCCACTCTCGAGCAGAAAAGCTCGACATCACCGACCTGTCGGCCTTTTCTGTTCGAAGTGCGAGATTCTCTAGAATGCTTCATGCGATAAGCTTGCAGCATTTCATTATGGTGGATAGATAGCGTTGCAATAAATATTCACACCAAAGGTCATCCTATTTTCATGGGTCTACATACTTATACAGGATGTTCAAAAAGCTCCTAACCCCGCGCTATCTCAGAACATGTCGACCGGAAGAAAAATGACCAAATCAATCAAATTTTGTAGGAATACATTTGTGCAAGTAACCTTGAAGCTCTTGACATTGACCTTCAAGGTCATTTCAAGGTAAAATTGGTTTTCTTGAATGGGATTCTATACTTTTGACCCCGGAAATTAAGCTAAAAGAAAAGGAAGTTTGGAAATGTGATTGATCATTACCTTGAACTTGGTTTAGGGGGTCATATCAAATTCAAAGCGACTTTCTTCATTGGAACTTTTGAGCCAGGAAAGTGAAAGAAGGCAAAATTACAAATTTAGGTATAACCTTGAACTTGATGTTAATTCAAAGTCAAAGCGATGTCTTCAAATAGGAACCTTTACCATGGATCTTAGAAAACGAAAGATGAGAAAATTTTAAGTTTGGATGCCCTTGACCAAGATCTTGTTATTGACCTTGGAGGTCATTCCAAGGTCAACCCTATTTTCTTGAATAGAGCAGTATACTTTTGACCTCGAAAGAGGGAAACTTTTAAGTTTGGATATGTTCTTGAGCGTGAAATGGCAGGTCAAGGCCATATCCAAACTTAGAATGTTTGCCTCTCTAGTATTCCGGGATGAAGTATAATGGTCCCATTAAAAAAAACAATTTGACCTCGACTTGACCTCCAAGGACATAACCAAGAACATGTTCATACTTAGTATCCCCTCTTATCTCAATTTTCGGGTTTAAAAGTATATGGTCATGTAAAAAATCAATTTAACCTTGGAATGACTTCCAAGGTCAAAATCGAGGTCACTGTAAAGATCACCATTAGATTGCTTAAGTAAAATCCTACGACTGTTGTCTTAGTCAATTTTATCTCCGATCACTATTTTATGAGATGGGGGAGTTCGGTAACTGTTTGAACACGCGGTATGTACAATCGTACTTATATATACTGTGCGAATCATTCACGGTTGAGCGCGGCTGAGCTTGAATGTGTACGAGACAGAAGAGTGCATCACGTATGTTAGAAAGAGCTATAAAGAATGCCGTGACCTTCCTCGCTGTAGTTGGCAAGCTATGTGGTTATTACTTGCTGGCATACTCTTTCCAACTTTTTCTACTATACATGTTACATGCTTCTCCTGCTTCTCTCTCTCTCACACACACCCACATACACACACATTGAAGCCCGGCCGACCTCAACCGTAAATGATTGGCAGTGCAACTTGAGGTTAATATACTTGTCCCGCGTAAGCTTAGAGCTTCATTTATTACCAAAATATCTGCTATCTTTAATCTCAAAACTCCTTTTTCCGTCCCTCACAGGCAGCCGCAGGCCCAGCATCGCGTCAATACACAGCTCGACCTCAGTGAGGTCGTACAGTGCAAGGAGGTACGAGAGGGAACGAAGAGAGAAGGAAGAGCGGGAGCTCGAGAGGCGGTTCAAACTGGCGGCTAGCAGTGCAGGGTCAGTCAGTGGCGTTGGAGTGGGGCAACCATCGCCTAGCCCGCATTCGGTGGACGATTTGTTGCCTACTTTGGAGGAAGATAGGCAAGGCCGGGTTGAGGAGGTAAGTCCAAGTTTATTGTCTTTACGTTCAGTGTTTTCAGGCTGAGGTAACAGCCATACAAGTCTGGGTAAAAAAGCTAATAAGCTTTACATAAATCGATCGTCATCCGCTCAGACTTCTATTAAGGCATTAAGTTCATTGCAGATCTCGTCTAAATTGGTAGAGTACTGCATAAATACTCTCGAAGAGGTGAGAAACCCAAGGTAAGATTGCTCTTGGTGCCAGGTCACGAGCGGTGCAAAGGAAATGAGAAGGCGGTTGAGCTAGCCTGACAGGGTGCGGCAAATCTTCTTATAGGTTCAACGTCTTTCTGTGGCGTGGAGAGAACATACATCAAACAATTCATAAGAAATTGGACTAAGAAAAAGTCCCTAGAATAGCGGAACAGCCAGTAAAGGCAAATGTAGACAAAATAGTTCATTAAAGAGCAAAACTTGCATTTACAGAGGACCTATTCCGACTAACTAGGGAGATACTCAAGTGCTATAGTGGGTCTCGTAACAGGACACTGTCGACTAAATCGACATACGAGGCACTTGTGTCTGGCAGAAGAGGCCACATGCCGTTTCTATAGAGAGTATGAGAAAACCCCAGTGCATATCTGGTGTCACTGCGAAGGCTGGGTAAGGCTTTGGTTTCACATATTAGGAATCACAACAACAACTGCAGAAAGCCAGATGCAAGGCCTTTATCAAGGCTATTGAGTATGACTGAAGGATCAAGGCCGAATATAGTGCTTTAGACTGTATGTGGGGCTCACAATACATCCATATGAGTTGCAATGGCGATAAGGCTAGCAAGTCAACCCCTTTTCAGATATCCATATTTTCAGTGTTGCCGAACCTACCGATTTTTCGCTATTTCTACTGGAATGAGACCTTATTTACAGAAATACAGATAATGTCATTTTTTACGATTTTTTTAAATAATTCAATTCTGTCACCGAGAAAGATTTGGGTACCAAAAATAAAACTGAAAAATGGTTTCTATGTAGTCTATGTAGTTTTATTGCCCCATGCCAGACATACATATGCGTACACTTAGGCAGTAGGGCATACGCGGGATGTAGGCTTGGGATGCCTATAATTTTTCTGTGTAAAAAAGGTAGAGACTGGTACAAGGCGTCATTATCGCATCACCGGACAAGCAATAAGACAACCCTCGTCTGTTTTCAATTAAATATTTAATTAAAATGTCAGGTGATAAAGAGTCCAGTTCAGAGCTAAGACAGAAAAATATTCAAAATCTTATAAACAAGAATGGGAAAAGGAGTTTCCAGAATAGTTGCAACGAAGTTGTAAGAGCGCCCAGAATGCTCATGGTACAAGTTGTAGTGAAGAAGATAATATTTTCTTCTGGAAAGCCTTCGTTGTGTGTGCCCACGCAATCAAAATATACTTTTCTTTCATAGAGGACGCTGCGTGACGCAAAGCCCCTTGCCTCACAGCTGGTCTTGCGACGTTTCTATTTTGTACTTTAATCTATGAATTTCAGCGGCAATATCTTCCCATTTCGTCTTTTTCGGTTCGGCAACACTGTTTACACTACAGGCAGACTGGCAGGCTAGTGGTGCTAGCTCGAGAATTGGGAAGTTTTCTAATTGAATTAAGAAAAGGATGTATTTCAAACTTTCGTCAACATTTTTTTATTTTAGTCATAGCTCAAGGTCCGGAATTTTTTATTTTTTTGTCTGAAATTCAAACATTTTAGAATTTTACTTGATATATTTACACGAACGTAAGGTCGCATCACTTTTTGCATAATAAAACCCACTAACAAACAAAACATATATGAAATTAAAAGTTTTTTTATGGTGAGCGCAGTGGAGCGATACTAATGATCTATTCAAATCACTTTCACTTTACTTGTAGGTCCCGGGAACCAACATGGAAATATTGCATTAAGAAGCATTTGCGCTCAAAGTTGAAAAAGAAAACAAAAATCTCAGCTGATCAGCTGTGATATGTAAAACATTAATTCAAGGATGAGAATATCATAGTCATCGTAGTTTCGTTCTTATTAGAGCTTGTCAGTAAGATCTAGGTCCAGGGTGTATCGTTATGCGACTCAATGCCTAAGCCTTGTGGACGGTCCTGCGTTTCCTCGTCCAACATTTAAATCACACTTTCAAAGAACAGTAGTAAGGATTCATTATAATAATTGTTTGAGCGTTTCAATATATACCACAGAAACCTCTTAAAACAGCACACAGCTTACCAAACATCAAAAGATTTTTTCCATGTCCCAAAACCCGGTTCTTTTCATCCCTGTCCCTTTTAGTTTCTCGTGTTTTCCTTAATTAATTTAGTTTCCACAGAAATACTCATTCTTTTACAGACTAACTTGTCTTCCAGGACCGGTATACTGAATACCGCTTTCTCTAGAACAGGTTCAATAGTTATTTATATTCCCTTTTTCTATTAAGGAATAGTAGTCTAACATTTAGCTCATTTCCTGCTGATAACACCAACTCACAGATATAACTAACTAAACCACGTTAAAATCCAAGGTGGAGTGGATGTGAACAGTCATGCATTACGCGTGTAATATTCTGAAGCTTGGCATATGAGTAATGAAACTACGATAAATTTATGTACTTACTTTCAAACTTCACGAAATAGGCTTTCGAAGTATGGTGTTATCAGCAGTAAACATTTGAACAAAAAGTCTAGTAACATTACAAAGATCTGTACCCTTGACACGTGGCTGTAATTACGACTGTGGGATTGCGACTCCTTATGTAAAAATACGACTAAATATCTTAGATTACAATACTTGCAAAATTTTACAATTATGTTCATGGTTTTTGGCGGTGACGTCACAATGTCATATGGAATAAAGCAAGCAGATTGACAAAACGTGTTATAGGTGTTATAAGCAAGGCAAAATGCGCAAACCGATCTGCAGCACAGCTGCTACCCATTATTGCACAAATTACGTTTCAATTAATTTTTTATAATATACAAACGATCGACATTGTCTACTAATTGTACTTCCAGACCTTACATTAACCTATAACGATGATCAAAAGGAGGCAAACTTAAATCGCACGCCAAGACAGTTGTCACACTGACAGCGTCAAACATAGTTCAGAACATTTATACTGCAGCACTCTTGTGAACTAGAAATTTGGGGTACTGATGAGACGACCTTGCATCATCGACGCATATACAACCAGAATTACGCGACCATGTCTGGAGCGCGTTTGCGTTCGACACTCATCGGGAAGCATCTACAGCCATCGAGAATCATTGAACGTTATCTAGTATTCCGTCTGGAATGCTCTGGATTGGTCGATTGAAATGAATAGGCGCTACGACGCACAGTGGTCCAGAACACCTCAAATGCTAACAAAAAGTAAAAAATGATGCAATGGAAATGGATGGAATTTGTCATGTATTTGAAAGTTGATACTTGGAATAATTAGTTGGTTATGAAAACAAAACCTTGTTTACACTACCTTCGTTATGACAGATCGTCAAACTTGAAGTTTGCTTTAGGTAATTTGTTGTAATATTTTTTTGTGGTGAATTCGGTAATGTTCTACATTATCAACCGCGAGGTGCTTCGAAAGATCCAAGATATTCCAATATGGATTCTACCAAAGAAGCTAAGATATTTCATCAATAAATAATTGGCGTTCGTAGCACAAATGAAGTTAGGAGCAGATGGAAATGTAAAAGCTGCAATATTACTCAAAGATTTATTGAACCTGTTCTTTCAGACATTTAATTTTTATGAAGCTTTTAAGTAGTGCTATAATGATATGTCGTATTTTCTAGTTTGCTTTGTTATAAATATAACTTTTCTGTGTTTTTTAAAGAATCCTTCTTATTCAGCAATCGCTATAATATTGTATTCTCGTATCAAACATCATGATATCAAATTATTTCAAGGATCCGACGCCATGAAGTTTTTTGACCGCAGATTTGAAATCAGCGACTTCAAGAACTTTTCTGTATCAAATCTCGTGAGGATGCTAGAGAAGTTATATTTTTGCCAGGGTGTTCTAGACCACTGTGCGACGGCAGTTTTGAAATCAGCGACTTCAAGAACTTTTCTGTATCAAATCTCGTGAGGATGCTGGAGAAGTTATATTTTTTCCCAGGGTGTTCTAGACCACTGTGCGACGGCAGATTTGAAATCAGCGACTTCAAGAACTTTTATGTATTAAATCTCGTGAAGATGCTAGAGAAGTTATATTTTTAGACCACTGTGCGACGGCAGAATGGAGGAGTCGTGGATAAGTCAGCAATAGAGCAAGACGTCCATGTCCAGTCCACATGGTTATAAATTTGTAATAAACTAGTTGCAAGCGTTATTATAAATTACTGTCAGCATAATAGATTAGACTTTAAAATTAGACGATAAAATTTTCACGTTGGTGAAAGAAAACTAAAAATGTATGTCGTTGAGTACTCACTAACGTCCATACTCAAAGATGACTTGTGTATGTATGAGGGAGATATGAAAGTGATACTGACAGTTTCACAGTGACCCGCCAAAAACCGTGAAAAAAACTATACGTACTGTACTAGCTATTGGTCTAATCATATTAGACGAAAATACCCCTGCAAAGTATGGTTTTATAGATGCAAGTTGTTCAAGGGGGTATTTGAATCATGCTCGCATAAAATGGGTACACCAATTTTTGTGGGAAAACTTTTTATTCGACAACAAAGAATGAGAAAACGTGTTTTTAGGATTCAATCGAAAGTGTTGGCGAAAAAACTCTTCCAGTAAGATTTTTAGGTATTTATGAGACCCACCGACTGAGACCACACAAAAGATCGGACTAATAACAAAAAGTTATGGCCTAAAACCGAGACGAGATACAGGTTTTCGCACTGGTTGGTAATGCGACGATAGTTTCACGCAGATACTTGAAATTCTCCAGATTTGTAGGCTTCATGATTCTAAATAACGGCAACAAAATTGGAGTCGATTGGTCAAGTAGTTTGGAGAATTTCTAATTGTTTATCCCCTTTGTTTTTCGCATAAAAATAACAATTATCTTTCAGAATGGTTTGTGATCCATGTCGGAAAGGTAAACTCATATATTTCGCTATAAAAGGTCCTTTGAATGAACTCTGTATATTGTTCAGTAAACTAGTAGTGATGGCCGGAAGACAGGTGTTTTGGGATAAATAATTAGAAATTCTCGAAAACTACTTGACCAACCGACTCCAATTTTGTTGCTGTTATTTAGAAGTATGAAGCTTACGGATTTATATAATTTCAAGTAGCTGCGTGAAATTATCGTGGCATTAGTAACAAGAGCCATAACCTGCATTTTGCCTCGGTCATCGGCCATAGCTTTTTTACTATTAGTCGGATGTTTTTACGTGTGGTCTCATTCTGAAGGTCTCATAAATACCTAAAAATCTTATATGAAGATTTTTTTGGTCCCTGAGCAAAAAATACGTTTTCTGATTCTTTGTTGACGAATAAAAAGTTTTACTTCAAAAATTGGTGTACCTGCCTACCCATTTTATGCGTCCATGATTTAAATACCCCGTTGAACAACTTGCATCAATAAAACAAGACTTTACAATTATTTCGGGGAAATTCGCTAACATGATTGGACTATATCCGCGGCTTGCATTAGCTGTGTGCCTTGCCTACATAGAAATTACGTGGTGTCGGTGTCATCTGTCAACTTTGATTATCTAATGTTACTGGGCTATAATCATGTAATTATCGTGCTACCAGGCTTCAACCGGCACTGCAGAACGTACATATCATGAAAAATGTCCAGAAACTGTAATGACTCTTGAAATATGTACAACAATTGCTTTAATTTGAGCAGTTTAATTTTAATCTGTACCGCTGATAAATGCGCACGGTGCAAACGTTGCTACATATAATTTGTCAAACTGAAATTGGACGGTGAATATGCACTTATAAATGAGTATCATTTTTTGTTTTGCATCATGGAATTAATAATATACAGTATGTTACTATGAATAAATACTATACAACTGAAACGTCAAAGGCAGTGAAAATCACACACACTGTGTGAGTTACATTAACTACAATATGGCTGAAATTGTTTGGTCTCCATCTCTGCGATCGGATACAATGGTGTCCCATGCTTGTTAGCAATCATCAGTACAGTATAGGTAAAGTCTTGAAGACAGACGACGAAAAGCGGACAAGCGAATAGATTAGGAGCCAATTCTTTGTGTGTACATTGCATTTTTGTCGTCAACATTGCGTAGTTTTGGAGCACACTTTTGACTTATTTGACTACAAATGTCTACCAAAGTTACAGCGTTTTATCAACAAAATAATAACAGTTACCGTTGAAAATATCTCCATCCGTTATGTAAGAATAAATTATGTAAGAAGTATCATGCCTTGAAGTCGTCTAACACCACAATTATCTGCAAGCACTCGGACTTTTAAAAAATAGCACTAATATATGAATTTAATGACAGAACTGTAAAAAAGTTAACTTATGTCAAGTGCACTTGTACTATCCTTGACTGGTTCCTTCTACCTAGTCCGAATCCAACTGACACCTTATATTTCACCAAAACTTAATTGTAAATTTGACATCGTATGCGCTTTATTGTTTGAGCAGTATAGTGTTTGCGGTAACATACTGTATATCCAGCTCTCGGGATACCCTGTTACAGAGTTACTGCATAATTTGTAATACGTCAACTACGACGACAAACAACTTTCTGGTTCAGATATTTTGGTTCACTCAGACCATGATCATCCCTTCTTTTCTATGCGCGTTAATACTGATAACTCTGCTTTTGCAAGCTTCTTCAGCTAAGGATTTTTTGTAGCCAAGTTTTTTTGCCTTGCACAATGTACGGGGCGATTTAAAAAACCATGTACTTCCAGAAGAGACATCGAAAAGAAACACAGAAATATCCTGACCAGGAGCTTAAACACTCGCTCTAGTCCTTATAGACGATTAAAAGAACATTATTTTCTGGGCTTCTCAAAACATCAGTCACTTTTTAATAAAAACGATCGTATGAATAAAATTATTTTTAAGTAGATCATTTTGGTTTGAGTATCTGGACTAGAATCCTAAAATTGAGTTTTACCACTTTTTGGTCTTTTGGAAAAATATATGTACAGAAAACTTTCGTGCTATTTTTCAATATCTGTCTGTCTTAAATATGTCAGCTCTAAGTTTTTAATCGCCTTGTACAAATAGTTTACATATTAGTATTTTATGCTTGACCTAAAATACTATAATCATCTCACAGTGCCCCTTTAGGTACTAAATCTTTCTTTGACGTTATTTTTTATAAAGCGCTTTTTACAAAACTGCAAAGGATACGGGTAAAGATCGGACTTTTCCTCCAATAAATTGCAGGTATCAAGGAGAAACCGATACACTTGGCATGTTTATTGAATTTTGATGATTCCAAGCTGTTTGACCATGCATTTTGCAACACTGCTTTTAGCGCTGTCCACAATACTTCTCGTAATTTTTTAATATTAGAATCAACAAGCTTACAAATTAAGACTCACTTGTTTCGATAAGCAAGCCAAGTTTGAAGGTCTTGTTCTCAATAGTCGCTATTTCGTATTTCAATAATTCTCTTGTAGATATTAATGAACGTACTCTTCATTAACTTGATCAGCATAAAAGACCTATTTTTACTCACCTGCTTTCCCGGACATATTCGTCAGTCTAAGTAGGTCAGGAAATAGTTTTTTCCTATAATCTTGGTAACAGTAAATTCTACTAATGCTTAGATTATTATCCTAATGATAGGTTCAAATTGGCGTCGTGATGGGGCTGGAGCATTTGCCTCTATTTTGAATTAGTCATTTGATCGGAAACGTCGAAGACTTTCTCCACCTGTCAGAATACAACGTTTTCATGTGTATATACCTCCATAAGCAATTATTTATAATCCAGAATACCATCGAAGAGTGATTTTTTTTACTGCGACGCGAAAGTATGGAAAATGTAATACTGAAATTACGCAGGGACAACATCGCCAACAGATAGATTGATGGGAGTGAATGATTTGATCTTCGTAATGAAAATATCACAAATCATCAGAAAATTACATTTTCTTTAGTTGCACGTGGTAGTTAAAAAATTGATTCAATTTAAAATGGTATTCCTGATCATAGATAATGATTATAAATTTATTTTCACGTCAAATAGTGTAAACGGTTTACGTGGACAATGTTCGTGGCGCGAGTGTTTTGATACGAATTTTCCTTATACCTCAAGAACCACCAGGGTGGCTAGTCTTAATATTTATTTCCGTTTTATCAGAAATTTCGATTATCCGAAAGCACATGGGTCCATATTATTTCGGATAATCGGGGTTCTACTGTATATGTAACTGTATTCTCTCTCTCTAAAAATAAATTAATGAAGAATTCTACATTAAACAGTCTCTATTACTTTTTTACATAGGATCGATGGTTTTCGATCAAACTCGTTCATACAAATGGCGACAAATGCTCAGGCTTATCATGACGCAAATTTAAACTTATTATCAGGAAGCAACGATAACGGTACCGCAAAAAATCTTACTGCCGCCCAAATTGTAGGATTCCTTTAAACAAAATGTCCCTATTTTCTGGCCTAAGGAGCTACGTTTCTGAATGACCACCACCTGGAGTCTAGTACCATTTTTCTACTTTTCAGGTTCCCCCGTTAGCAGCTAAAGAAGATTCAACCAGCAGTTTTCCCGAAGAGTTACCATCGACCTCTAAGCAGTATCCGTGACGAAGTGATCGTGTCAGAAAACGAACTTTAAAAAAATTGTTTTTATTTGTACCTACCCTTGTTGGCCTATTTTAGTAAGACGATCTTGCGCGCTCCAAGAATTAAAGGACTTGGGGCAATAAGATAACCTAACCACATGTGAATACAAAAATACATTTCCATTTAAAAACGCCCGTGGCTTAGGTATCTATGTCCGAAGGTATGATTTTTTTGATATTACATGTCGCTATAATTTCTGAATAGCGTTTTTGAACTCTCACGATATCCCACAAATTATTACGACAATTATGGTCTCCAAGGACACCAGAAAACAACTAAACGAGTTTCTGATTTTATTGTCAATAAATTTTGTAAGCTATGTGTACGCAGAATAATCTGTTACTCATGAAGCAGTCTTGTCAACTACCTTTCGGGCATCTAATTTTATACAAATATTTTTTCAACAAAAAACATTCGTGCAGGTGCAACCGCGCCCATGCTTCTTGTTGAAATATTACTTAGCAACGTGTTTTTTCAATCTTTTTCGAAAAAATTAGATGCCCTTATGATAGTACGTACGAATATATCATTATTTCTATCAAGAACGACTTTTGTAGATCGCAAATAATTTTATTATGTGTCAATAATATGCAATTTTGTGATGAGTGGCCTATGCCTTTCTTGGTCAGGCTCAAAACATGGAAAATAGGTCCCAGTCGATTTGTCTACAAACTCAGTATCATATATCCCTTGCCTTTTCGAACAAAAGTATCTATGGGACCAAAGCATTCCTACGATTAGTTTCTGAGAAATAGGCTGATGTCTGATTTGCAAAAAAGGTGATTGAGCAGATTGTGGCTCTTGGACCAAAAACTCGGCGAATCAGAGTATATTTTGTTAAAACACCTTCTAGAAAGGTGTTAGGAGGTGTCATATTGATCGTGACCATGATCCTTACAAGGTCAGTTTCAAAGCAAGCTGATTTACATGTGCTTGTGCTGGAATAGTTCCGGCACGAATTGCTCGATAATTCAGAAAATTCAACAGGGCTCGAGAAGGGTGAAAACTACCCCCAACCATACATAAATTATAGCAGAATTTATTGGCAACTTTTCCGACGACTCTGATTTTTATTTATTCAACAGATCATTTTGTTTACTTCATTTTTTGTTACCTATAAGAACATGCCGTCTCGGATAGTTTTCGAGAAAAAAAAAATGAGTTGCATCGTGAGGTTCCCATTAATTTTTTGAGTATAGTTAGCGAAAATAACTAAGTATTATACAGTGTGTAAACGTTATGATAGTCATTATTTAAATGGGTGATAGAGGGTGTTAAAAGAAGCAAAGTTTCATATAACATGGGGGTCAAAACGGAATTTTTTTTAGAGAAAAGCGACTTTAAAGTAAAATAAAATCTGACAACGCCGCAATGCCAGACGCAATTTACGACGAAACGCAGTGTAAATAAAGATGGAATTTGTTATTTTTGGCTCGTAGGTATTATTTCATTATTTGATAATGTACTCGTAAAGTGCAAACAATTAAAAAAACGGACTTACCACTAACTGTCTCAGCGCTTAAGCTGGTGTGTGAAAGTTTATTGAACGTATTAAAAAAATCCACTTATAAATAGGGAACAGCGCTCACCTGGTGTGTGAAAGTTTAGAACGTATTAAAAAAATCCACTTATAAATAGGGAACACAATTTTGATACATACATCGTTTTCCTTTTTAAAACCCACACTGCACTTTTTTGTAAATAAAGAAGGTGTTCAAAATGTCGTCCTCCACTTTCTACGCAAGCTTCATTACGACGAACCTTCTTACTCTAGGTCCTCGAAGTTGTCCATTTATTACTTCAGCCGCATTAAATTTTTTTTGCGAAGTTGTGCTTCAGTTGTTATTGGACCAGCCCCATAAACCATCCCTTTAAGTTTTCCCCAATTCCAGAAATCCATCGGATTGAGGTCAGGATATCTTGCTGGCCATTTTCGAGGATCAGGAGCATTTCGACCGATCCAGCGATTTGGATACTGTTAATTCAAATACTGAATGACGCCTCTAAAAATGTGTGCTGGTGCCCCGTCATGAAGAAAACACAAATTCTGTCTCCGTTGTAATGGCATGTTGGTCTGTTCTAAAAGTTCTGGTAGGTTATTGGCTAGAAAGCTAAGGTATCCTTCTCCTGAGAACTTTGGGGGTAACTCGGAAGGGCCAATTACCTGATCGTCAAGAATACCCGCCGCAAATATTTATTTTAAAACGTTGTTGGAAACGACCTTCACGAATGGTATGAGGATTTTCTTGGGCCCACGTTTGAGTATTATGGAAATTTAATATCCCGTCTCGCATAAAAGTACATTCGCCCGTCGCTAGAATGTTTTTAAAAAATCCGGATATTCAATGTTTTTGTGCAAAAACCACTGACAGAATGTTAGTCTGCGAGGATAGTCTTCTGGTAACAAGGCCTGCTATCGTTGTACAACATGGTAGGGATATAGCAAATTTTCCCGTAGGCCTAATTCGCGAGTGCTGATATCTGCATTGATTTCCACGATATTTAAAATTTGTTCCTCCTGCTGTACAGTAACCTGTCATTCACGAGTGCAAATATTAGTGGGCTGAACACTTCCAGTATCTCGAAGTTGACGAAATCTGTCGCGATAAATTTGAGCTGTAAGATTTGAATTCTGACGAGCTTCACCGTAAACTAACAACATGTCGGCGAACTCTTGATTCGAGAACATTGTAAATATCACGACGACGTACGCGACCAAAAACAAAACAGCACGCCCGATGCCCGATAACTAACTAGTGTTACCGTTTGCGATCGATTGCCGGTTCGATAAGAGTGATGAAAGGCCGACGCGCTGTTGTCATGTATGTTTTAAATATTTAATTTATTGAAACTTACTTACTGACTACAAATTTTGCCATTAATTTGTTAATTATCCAATTTAAAAACATTTTAGATTAGATTATAAACATTACTAAGATTGTGGTGATTGTGGTCGATATAAAGCACTTAAAGTTGTAAACTATAAAGCCATTTAGACAAAAATCTATTGACTTTTGGACCATGGGTCATATGAACTTTTTGACTACCCATTTCAATAATGACTACCATAACGTTTACACCCTGTATTACTTATGACAACTTAACTTAATACAGGCAATAATGCGAATCTTTCATAAAAGGTGTTCAACATAACCACCATTTTCGGTCCTGTACAATATACAATACGGCGCAAACATTTTTTAGAAATCTGCTTCGACATCACTTTTTTCTCGAAAACTATGTGAAATGGCGTGTGTTTATAAGATACAAAATATGAAGTAAATAAATGGACTTTTCAAATAAAATTCAGAGTCGCTGCGAAAGTTACGAAAAAATTCTGATATAACCTATGTAGGTCTGGGGTTAGTTTTCATCTTTCTCGAACCCCTTCGGGTTTTTTGTAAAAGTCAAACACTAGGACGTCTAGCAAAACATATGTGTTCTAGATTTCGTTCATATCTATCTATCGGTTCCAAAAATATCTAAAAAACGATGCACTTTTGCTTAGAGGTAAATCAGGTCCAACCGACTTATATTGAGTCTAAGAATACGTACTACTAGTGAAACAGGATATCTTAAATACGGTATTTGAATTTGTTCCAACTTGAAGCAAAAGGCGAGATAATTACATTGCAGCAATAATTCATCCATCAAAATCATTGCGAAGTCTAAATACTTTTGTGGAAAAAGACTGCTATAATAATACGATAAATTCCATTAAAACGTTCTTTAGGCCATTTACATCCTACATCATTACCAAGCTATAGTAAACTTATAATCGCTAAGAACATAACCTTGAACAAAGTTTATCAATCAAATAGCTTAGGACCTACATAGATCCCTATCAAAATTGGGATATTCACATAAATTTTGTCACAAAATTAAGATATCTACTACATAAACTCAAAATTCATGGTAATATGCTAACATTACCTCAAATGGAAATATTATACGGCTCACTTATTAAAAGTCATATCTCACATGCTAGACAACAAGGGGTGCAGCATTACATCGATTACAAAAAATGATTCCGAAGAAGAACATTTTTTTTGTGTTACATCAATTGTATTTCTATTAAATCATACCTAGTTACGGTTTGTGAAGCAACTCATCCAAAATTATAGCGCCAAAACCAAATAAATGTATATTTTCCAGATGTCTCAGCTTTTTGGGCACAAAATGTTACAATAGTTTGACTAAAGAGATAAAAAGACTTCAGTTTATTTAACAGAGTATTAAAAGTGAAAGCGTTACTTATAAGGAAATATAAAAAGTTTTTTACGGCTAGAAAAATACATTTATATTTCGACACAGAAATTCTTTTTCTGCTGTTTAGAATTATAGAAAAGTGCATAAAATTATTCTTTTAATTTACTTCCCTTAATGGGGTATCCACAAGGGCAATTATTTTTGTTGCCATGCTCAAGGCCTTGGCTTTTGTGGCTCATTTGTTTATTCATACAATAATATATATTTTTTTCAATATGTGATAGATATATATATATGAATTCCTATTTCGCATGGTCACGCCATAACTTGAGAACAATACCGATTTCATTCGTCTTGGTTTTAAAAGTTTCCTAATACTGTATAGAAGATTTTTGCCGAAAGAGAACTCAAGAAAATGGCGAGGAAAATTGGGAAATCATTGAAAACTAATAGTTATTTGAGCTACGCGCCTTTGACAGCTCGCTAGAGCATGGAACGCGCACAGCAGAAGAAATATCTCAAGTACCAAAAGAGATGGGCACTCCTCTCCGCCATCTTTATTCCAACAGCTATTGACAATTAACTATGCGAGAGAAAATTGCTTTCGTTTTTGGACTTTCATTCCTTTACCATCCGTGCTTTGTGATGGCCCCTTCAAAAGAAACTGCAGTGTTGCTTAATTGTTATCTTTGTCAGTTAACTCTATGAATAAAAATGGCGGATGAAAATACATTTCTTTTGCTTAATTGACTGTCACTACTTTATTATTTTGAACTTAACAGCTCGCACGCCACATATTTATATTATCGTTTAACAGTGTTTGTTGATGAAGAAATATTTTTAGTAGTGCACAGCCCATTCGATTAGAGCTTTTATCCAGTTTTCAGTTTGTTCAGTGAGTTTTTTGAGAAGTATTTGTTCAGAAATAATTAACAAGGGTGGAAGTTAATTCACCGCAATCACGCCTTATATTAAAATTGTGATATTTCAAAATGCCACCGATTAGACGTACCAACCTAAGTCACAGAACTCGAAATGCTGCGAGTTAAAGATATATACCAAGAAGTCAAACTGAGAAGCAAAAAGAAGCGAGCAATGAAGTTGAGCAAGATCGAAGGACTGAAATTCAACAACGTAGAAGTGCCGCATTTAATTCCAATCGATCTGTATTCAATTATGAAGTGGCAATCGATTACAGTTCACAACATTAATTGATATTGGTCCAATGAACATTGTGTGTCTACATTGCAAGGTTTTCAAGCTTAAAAATGAAGCCCCTGGATGCCCAGTGGAAAAGTCAAATTTACTCCATTGGTACCACTACTAAAGCCACTACATTAATTCGTTTTTCGGAAATGGGCCAGAGTCTATACATTTTTAGACTCATATCCAGCAATACAATAAATGCTTTCAAATAACGTCATTTGGCGCAATAAAATTCGGTCCACATATTTTTATGCCTACTTTCAGGGTAAGTTGATGGGGGAATGGCAGTGCTGCCATCGTATTTTGCTAGCCACATATATTTACCCTTTCATTATTTATTACTCATCCCAGTTTATAGCTATGACAGGACAACGTCTGTCGGGTGAGCTAGTGGTAAATAAATATTTGAATATTGTGGCATTTCAATCGAAATTAAGTAAGACACGTGATTCCAGGATCTACATAAAAGTGATAACTTTGGATTTCTGGAAATAAGGTCAATGTGGCTTAGGTACCTTGTTGCCCCAAGCCTTCAATTCATGTTCGAACTTTAAGAAATCCGTAAGGATTGGATACATAGAAGCTACAACTATCCTATTTTTCCCAAGTAACAAGGCAAATAAAGCGTTGTATCAATAAGGGGT